TGGCCCAGCTGATGCTCTCAGCCTCTGGTACTTCCTGGCTTTAACTCCCCCCCCCAGCCCCCACTCCACGCCCCCTCTTTGGTTTAATGACTCACTCTCCACCTTTCCCCAGCTTCCTGGGTGGCAGAGCCCAGAGTCTCCAGAGACTCTGGAAAATGGGATAAGACTGGGAGAGAAGGACCGGCAACAAGCTGGGTTCTCTGGGTCATCTCGGCAGTCCATGCTGCTCTGGCCACAAGAAATGTCCCTGTCTGGGGAGGACGGTAAAACTAACGAGGCCCAGCTGGAGCCAGAATTCCAGATGTGGGAGTTTGTGTTGAAACCTGAACCTGAGGTCTCTTTTCTCTTCCCTCCCTGACTGAAGCCCTGAAGAAATTTTCCATCACAAACAAGTGATACATTCCTAACCTGGGGGCCTCCCCGTCTCTCCCACCAAACAGTTTCCTCTCATCCTCTCCATGTGTGAGGTACCCAGGAGGAGAGTGTGGGCAGGTGTGTAGTAGCCTCCGCTCAGGTGCAAACCTGGGGACGCTGGCAGATAGGCAAGGCAGATATGAGAAAGAGGGTTGTTTCTCCTACAGGAAGAGGTGCATGTGATGTGGAAGCTGTCTCCCGTGTTTAGATGGGGATACCAATCCCAGGAAACAGTCACATACATACACAGCAGTGAGACCTCCACAAGTGTGAGGCTTATGTGCTTTCCTAAGCATCCTTGGTTGGAAAAAAAAAAAACTGCCCCGTGTGTTTCCTGATTGGTGTAAATGCAGTTCTAGGGCTGACGAGATGGCTCGGGAGGAGAAGGTATTCGCTACCAAGCCTGGCGGCCTGAGCTCAGGCCAGTGAAGCCCTCACGGTGGAAGGAAAGTTGTCCTGTGACCCATTCACCCCCAAATAAATGCAATAATAATTTTTAAAACTTCCAGGTTGAGTTGGAAGCCATGACAGTGTATGGCTTTCATCCCAGCACTCGGGAGACAGGCAGGTAGAGCTCTGTGAGTTCAAGGCCAGCCTGGTCTACAGAGTTAGTTTCAGGTCAGCCAGGACTACACAGAGAAACCCTGTCTTGAAAAGTCAAATAAATAAATAAATAAATAAATAGAAAACTTCTAGGTTGAATATAGCTCAGTGGTAAAGCATTAGCCTAGCAGACAGGAGGCCCCATTTTCAGTTTCCAGTTTTTTGGGTTTTGTCTTTAAGTTTTAAAATAGAAATTTCAGCTTTTCCTTTTTAAAAAAAAATTTAATTAGCCAGACAGTGGTGGTACAGCCTTGAATCCCAGCACTCGGGAGGCAGAGACAATCGGATCTCTGTGAGTTCAAGACCAGCCTGGTCTACAAAGAGAGTTCCAGAACAGGCTCCAAAGCTACAGAGAAACCCTATCTTGAAAAACAAACACACACAAAAAAAATTTTAATTAAATTTATTCATTTTGGGCTGGAGGGATGGCTCAGCGGTTAAGAGCACTGGCTGCTCTTCCAGAGGTCCTGAGTTCAATTCCCAGCAACCACATGGTGGCTCACAACCATCTGTAATGAGATCCGGTGCCCTCTTCTGGCCTGCAGGGATATGTGCAGGCAGAACACTGTATACATAATAAATAAATCTTAAAAATAAATAAATTTGTTTTTTAAGTGTGTGTTTTGCCTTCATGTGTGTCTGTGCACCACTGCATATCTGGCCCCTGAGGAGATCAGAGACACTATCAACTATCAGAGGCCCTGGAACTGGAGTTAAGGTGGTTGTGTGCCACCATGCGGGTGCTAGTCAAAGCCGGATCCTCAGCAAGCTCAGAAGCTCCCCAGCTTTTCCTAAGACGTTGTTTCTCTGGGAAGTTTAAAGGAACGTATCCACATTTCAGAAGCCTGGAGGCCCTAGCCAGTCTGTGAATAGTATGTGTACCCTTATAGCTCTGTATTTTCATTTTTACTTAATAAGATTATTGAGAGCTAGAGAGAAGGCTCAGGTGGTAGGAGTGCTTGCCACTCTTGCAGAAGGCTGGAAGGCCGCAGTTTGGCTCCTAGCACCCTTAACAGGTGGCTTACAGCTTCTACCGGGCTCAAAACGAGATAAAGTTCTGAGCCAGGTTCACCCTGGAGCCAGTTCTATTTTAAGGCTCCTACGTGTTCTCCCTCCGACGATACGCCAACTTATTACCCAAATCACCCAAATCTGGTGATCTCATGCCAGCAATATCTCTTCTGGTCTTGTTTTGGGCTGCTGTTACCTTCTACCTGAGCCCCCCCCCAGTAGCTCATGGCCCCATCCCAGTCGGTTCCCAGCTTAGATTGCTCTTCTCCTGGATTGTGCTCCACAGTCTGGGGCCTGCCCCGTGAGTGCTCCTCTCTGTCTAATTCCTCGCCCGCCATTAGCATTCCCCAGGAAACTTACTGTGACATTGCTTTCCTCCAGATGAGTCCTGTACTTTTCCAGCTCTGAGTCTCTGCTGACTCTGTCCGTTTTTTTTTTTTTTCACAGTCACCCGTTCCCATCTGAATGTGTCATATCCCACCTATTGGGTCATCTCAAAGGTCACTCTGGCTGAAGTTTTCCTGACTGATTAGTCAGAGCACCAGCTCCTCAGGGTCCCCTTTGATAGTCTTCTTAGGACCCTCCGGAGAGTTCCGGTCATGGCCGCCTTGTAAGCCCAGAGGATAAAACCTTTCAGACCAAAGTGACAGCTGTATCTGGCTTGCTTCCCTCCTGCAACTCTAACCTCGGAGCTTTCAACAGCACATATATATTTGTACATAATTTGATTATTTATTTGGACGTGTGTATGTGTGGGCATAAGTAGACCACATGTGGAAGTCAGAGGGTGGATTTCTAAGAACCACTTCTCTTCTGCCATGTGGATCCCAGGTGTCAAATTCGGGTCATCAGACCTAGCAACAATCACCTTTACCCTCTGAGCCATCTCACCTGGCTTTTTTTTGGGGGGGAGGAGTTGTTTGGTTTTATTTTAAAACATATTTCACTTTTATTTTATGTATATGAGTATTTTGTCTGTATGTATGTATGTGGACTGCATGCATGCCTGGTGCCTACAGAGTCCAGGAAAGGGCACCAGATCCCCCTGGAACTGGTTGTGAGCTGCCCTTTGAGTTCCGGGAACTGATCCCAGGTCCCCCACAAAAGCAGCAAGTGCTCTTAACCACTGAGCCATCTTTCCAACCCCTTCTTTGGTTTTTTGTATGTTTTGAAGCTGATCTTGCTATGTCCTGGACTGGTCCCAAACTCCTGGGTTCAAGATACCCTTTTGGCAAGCCGTAGGGAAGAGGGTCACAGCTTCATATTGTGCTGGGTGACTTCCACAACACCTTTACTCAAACTGTTACGGGTCCCCGAAATGTTGACTTCTGTGTCCAGGAAGAGAGAGGTCTCCAGAGCAGCAGAGAATTCCTGGGGGTTCTGAATGGCGCTGCATGCGACACAAGGCACGATAGCTCACAATTTCAGAGCTCTTCATTTGGTGTCTTATTTTGTGACCCATCCAACAGAGGCTGCTGGCTTCTTGTCCCCGCTCTACCCCTCTTTGAATAACTTCACCGGGGTGTCGCTAGCAGTCACTGCACACACGTGTGTGCTTGTGAAATGCATGTGATGTGTGTCTGCGTTCTCACGTATGCCGCGGCAAGCAAAGCTGGGGCTGTGGGTTTTAGTGTGTTCTTCGTCTTCTTGGAAGTTTGTGCAATGACTTCCCTCCTGGCATGTGTATTTTCTACGCATACTTCCAAGTATGTGGATGTGTTTTCTGTGATCCCTTGAGGGGCGTCTCTAACGATGGTGGCTGAATCATCTGCTACACGTCTGGGAGACCCCTCTAGACACCGCAGGTCCGGACATGTGTTTACTTCCAGCGATTGCACCCGCCAGCATTCACTACTTCGGGGCAAAACGTGCACCGGGGCACCTAAGGAGTAGGCAGTCAAGGCTCCACCTACACTTTTTGCTTCCTCCTCGGAATTTCCAGTCCTTCGCAGCCAACTGCTCCCCAGCTGAGAAGGGCGGAGTTCCGTGGGACCGTCCCCCTTTTTGACTATATAACTAGCGCCGCCTCGCTGGAGACCTGCATTCTTCCTCACTCTCTGCACTGCGCTGAAACTATGTGCCACTCGCGCAACCATCTCCACACCATGACTGGCCTGCGGGCCCCGGCTCCCGCTCCCTCCACCAGCTCGGAACTCCGGCGGGGCTCCGGTCCCGAGATTTTCACCTTCGACCCTCTCCCGGAGCCGGCGGTAGCGTCCACCACGCGTCTGAACACTTCCCGCGGACATCGAAAACGCAGCCGAAGGGTGCTCTACCCTCGAGTGGTGAGTATCGCCGGAGTGGGCAGCAGGGGCTCGCGTCGCTGTGGTACCTACCGGGAACAACTAGACGCGGAGACCTTGATCTAACTTTCCCCTCTTTATCTCTTCCCAGGTCCGGCGCCAGTTGCCAACCGAGGAACCCAACATTGCCAAGAGGGTCCTCTTTCTCCTGCTCACCATCATCTTCTGCCAGATCTTGATGGCTGAAGAAGGTGTATCGCAGACCCTGGCCGCAGAGGAGGCTACCAGTGCCGCGTCACCTGAACCCATCTCTGCGCCCATCACTGCGCTGCCGATCTTCGAGCCCTTCAATCTGACCTCGGAGTCCTCGGACTACGCTCTGGACCTCAAAGCTTTTCTTCAGCAACACCCAGCAGCCTTCTAAATGCGACCGGTCGCACTCAGTCCGAAAACAACGAAAGAGGCACCAGGCGTACCTGGTGCGCCAGAGCGTATCCCAAACTGGGACTTACAAGGCAACGCCAGCTCAGAACACTACAGCCAAGAAGCCAGTGCTTGGGGAGCCCGAGGCACTGTGCGTCCCTTCTAAGCCTACTGGAAAAGGACAGAGGCCTTCCCAGTGTCCTAATGAATATTTATGTATTTATGTATATCCTCCTAGGTGAAGGAGGGGGTGTATATAATATTTATTCTAATTTATGCAGGGGTGCGAGATATGCCCCCTTGCTGTAACACAGATATCTGGATTATTTATTAATGAGTTATAGGGTCGGTGAGACAGAGTGGTGGGAGGGAGCACCTGGGGATTAGACTTGGTGGTAGGTCATAGGTTTAGGGGTAACACTCCGTCTTCCAGCACCCCAACTCTGTAGTCTGTTGTAAGGCTTTCGGCAGACCCTTGGGAATCCGGTCCGTGGCCTTTGATGTCTTCCTGGTTGCTTCTCAGGGGCGGCTGCGGGAGTCTTGGGTCCATGGATAGTCAGAGGGCGGATGCCGAGGGTCGCCTAGTATGTTCTGTGAACACGAATAAACTTGATTGCCGGTTATTATTATCAGCAGTTCTCCAAGTGTTTTTTTTCCCCCAGCGACCAAAAATTAAAAAGACAAAAAAAAAAAAAAAAAAGGAGGTGGCGGGAGGATGTGACTAGGTCCCTGGTCCGCACCCCTTCTTGGGGCCCGAGCTCTTTTTCTTGGAGTTACAGACCTATATCCGGTCACCGGATGCTGTCATACATTGCTAGGTCTGCGGTTTTCCCGGTTAGCCGGTAGTGTGGCAACCTGCTTACTCACGGTGGACGGCGGGTACCCAACGACCTGACGTGGAGGGCGTGGCCTCGTGGGGGCGTGGCTTCCTTCCGCGGGGGGAGGAATTGGGGAGGGACAGCGCCAGGCAGCCCCCAGCGCAGCCGAGAGCCGGAGTGCTGCGGCCCCGAGCGGGGCCTGCCGGGAAAGGGGCGGACCGAGGGGGTTGGTCGGGGGCGGGGTCGCGTCTGCTGCAGCAACAGGGTGCGGCCGGGTTGGGGGCGCTAGCGCAGCTTCCAGTTAGCTGGGTGTCCGAGCTGCCCACGCCTCATTCTAGGACTCTGGGCGCCTCCGCGCGCGTTTCCCAAGACCCCCTTGTAAGGTTGCTTCCCGCGTAGCGGAAGGTGAGTGGGGAGGGGAGGAGGAGCCACGGGCAGCCGAGAAGAGGGGAGAATGCGGAACCGTCTGCAGACCCCTGGGCGCGGGAGAGCTTTGTGGGATGGAGGGCCTAGGGGGCGCAGGAAAGGAAGGCCGAGAGAATCAGCAGACGCAAGGAAGTAGTCCCTGGGGATCTTAGGACTGTCATGGGGCACTTACGGGATTGGGCGGTGGCAGAGGCAGAGCGTGCTCCTGATAAGAGGGAGGAGGAGGTGCCACAAGGCCCCTTCCCCTCTGCAAAGGCTTTCTCTCCATCCCCCCCAGCTGCAGCTTCAATCATGTTTTTCACTTGTGGCCCAAATGAGGCCATGGTGGTCTCCGGTAAGTCTTGTCCCAGCCAGTGACACCCGCTCCACTCCTAAGCCCCCCTCCTCTCCTTACCAGCCCCAACCTTCTGGCCACGGTGGGCACAAACCACCGTGCTTCCCGGCCTCTATTTTCCAAGAATGCTCTTGGAATGCTGTCCCTCAGTTCCCAGATTCTCCCAGTGAGTGCGTTCCACCCATCACCCTCACCCCATAGTCTTTTTGGCTCTGCCATGGCCTCATTATGCCCTCACCTTACAGGGTTCTGCAGGAGCCCCCCAGTCATGGTGGCTGGGGGCCGAGTTTTTGTCCTGCCCTGCATCCAACAAATCCAGAGGTAGGTAGTCACAGAATCCCAGGAGACAACCCATTTTCCTCTCTGCTCTTTTCCTTACTGTCTCTCCTTTTCCCCCTAGGATCTCTCTCAACACACTGACCCTCAATGTCAAGAGTGAGAAGGTCTATACCCGCCATGGGGTCCCCATCTCAGTCACGGGCATTGCCCAGGTGAGGCTGTCAGAGCCTTCCTCCCAAAGCCCACACCCACCTTTCCCTGGCCACTGAGTACCTCTGACCACAGACTTCTCTAATCTGCCTTTCTGCTGCTCTCACCTTCTCCGCTGCCCCCAAGGCACCTACCTCTTCCTCCTCTCTCTACTGTGGCTGCAGGTGAAAATCCAGGGCCAGAACAAGGAGATGTTGGCAGCCGCCTGCCAGATGTTCCTGGGGAAGACAGAGGCCGAGATTGCCCACATTGCCCTGGAGACGCTGGAGGGCCACCAGAGGGCTATCATGGCCCACATGACTGTGGAGGTGGGACTGGGGGGATGCCAGGCTGAGTGGCACCTGAGGACCAGCTTGTCTGTGGCAGACGATGAATCTGACCTCCTCCTCCTCCTCACTCTTCTCTCTAGGAGATCTATAAGGACAGACAGAAATTCTCAGAGCAAGTTTTCAAAGTGGCCTCCTCAGACCTGGTCAACATGGGCATCAGCGTGGTTAGCTACACCTTGAAGGACATTCATGATGACCAGGTGAAAATGGACAGTTGAGGCAGGCTTGGTGGCTAGAGCTCGTCATCCCATCCCTGGTGGTAGGTGGTGGGGACTAAGGCAGCAGGGATCCATAGGTCATCTGGGCTGCATCGTGAGTTCCAGGCCAGCCAGAGCTATGTAATCAAGAGACCCTGTCTGGGAAAACAAACAAAGAACAAGTTTAGCGGTAAATCGCTGACCCAGGCTGACGTGCTGGGCCTCTGGCTCAACCCCTGCACCACAGAGCAGACAAAGCCCCGATCCCCTCTCTCACACCCTCCTGAGACCCTGGTTCCGTTCTCCCACAGGACTACTTGCACTCTTTGGGGAAGGCTCGTACAGCGCAAGTCCAGAAGGATGCTCGGATTGGGGAAGCAGAGGCCAAAAGAGATGCCGGGATACGGGTGAGGGAGATGGGGGCTGCTTGGTCTCTGCTGGCTTGTTAGACACCCAGTGGACAAGGGCACAAGGGGGTTTGGAGGGCCCAGCTCGGTCATGGGGGGGGGGGTGACAGTAGAGACATCTGGCGGAGAGCGGGCCCTTACCCTTTGGCCTTCCTCACTAATCTGACCTAGGAGGCTAAGGCCAAGCAGGAGAAGGTATCTGCCCAGTGTCTTAGTGAAATAGAGATGGCCAAGGCACAGAGAGACTATGAGCTGAAGAAGGCCACCTATGACATCGAGGTCAACACCCGCCGAGCACAGGCTGACCTGGCCTATCAGCTGCAGGTAAGTGGACCAAACTGGGCGAGTCTAGGCTGCTCAGTAGCCCTTCTCCCTTCTCCTCTCTTCCGCCTGGACTGGGAGAGACTTCGATCAGTTTTGACCCCTCTCCCCCTTATGATAGGTGACTTAAGAGTCTCGGACAGAGACTGGAGAGGAAGCTCAGTTGACAAACATGCCGAGTGGCACACACATGCGATCCCCACGCTCCCCAGCCTGGGGAGGTAGAGACAGGTAGATCTTGGGGGATCACCGGTCAGCTGGGCTAGCAAAATCGTTGAACCTCAGGTCAGTTGTCTCAGAATAAAGGTAGATGATGCCTAGAGAGGAATGTCCTCTGGCCTCCACAAACACATGTACACTCACACCTGTACATGCATGTGTATCTGCACACACATACAGACTAGAGCATTCAGCTGAAAACCTCCCAAAAAAAGAGCCAGGCGGTGATGGCACACTCCTTTAATCCCAGCACTCAGGAGGCAGAGGCAGGCAGATCTTTGTGATTTTGAGGCCAGCCTGGTCTACAGAATGAGTTCCATGACAGCCAGGGCTGTTACACAGATATACCCTGTCTCAAAAAACAAACAAAAATTAATAAATAAATAGAAAGGAAGAAAGAAAGAGAAAAAGGAAGAAAAGAAAGAAAGAAAAAAGAAGAAAAGCATTAATTTGATTGATCAAGAGGGTCACCATGTTTGGGCTAGCCTGGGCCTGTCTATAAGGACACCTGGCTGCAGATAGAAGCCAGAGTCATGAGCCACCCTGTGTTCCACTCACCAATCTGTGTTTTATGAGTCTGCACCTGTTCAGAAGAAGAGAAGTTTTCTCTCACTTGTGCAGGGTACCCCAAAGCTTAATCAAAGAAGAGGGTGAAAAAGGAAGCAGACATGGGCTTTGAATAGTAGAAAGTGCTCTATGGGCAGCCCTTTATATTACAAAAGGAATAGCTGGTCCCTGTCATTCATGGGTTGCACAGTTGCGAATCTGCCTGCTCGCTGGGATTAGAGGGCGACCCCCAGGTCCGTGCTTGCAGCATTCGTGTAAGGCATGGGCAGGCATGGGATGCGGAGGACATCTAGTTCTTGAAGCTGTCTGCAGATGAGATGAAATAGCTCGCGGGCCGCTAACGATTTCACCTGGTATCATCAACACCATTTCTGCATTTCTGTGCTTTTTGTTAGTAATCCTGCTGTTTCAAATGACCCTTGGGACTGAGGATATAACACACACACACACGCTCACAGTGAAACAACACTCAAGTAGTACTAAAGCGCTCTGTGGGGTCCCTTAGCACCGACGCTGGGATGTGCCTTATGGAGAAAGTGTGTGTTAGGTTACCTTTGTTCAGACAGGAATTAAAGTACAGTTGGCTACTGTTCCACAGGAATGCATCAGCTCTGTGTGTTTATATAAGGTGTCTTTATTACTGTTCTTTTGTTCTTCAAGACAGGGACTCACTATATTCCTGTCTGGTCTGGAACTGACTATACAGACCACTGACTGACCTCAATCTCACCTACCTCTACCCTCAACCGAGAGCTAGGATTAAAATTGTGCACCACCATGTCTCACATCGTAGCCCAAACCGGGCTCAAACTTATAGCAATCCTCCTGTTTCAGCCTCATCCTTTTTTCTTAAGATTTGTTTTATGTAGATGATGCTCTATTCCACATGTACAAGTTTATACCAGAAGAGGGCGCCAGATCCCACTCTAGATGGCTGTGAGCCACCATGTAGTTGCTGGGAACTGAACTCGGGACCTCTGGTTGAGCAGCTGGTGCCCTTAACCTCTGAGCCGTCTCTCCAGCTCCCTATTTCAGCCTCTTCACTGCAGGGATTACAGGCTTGTACCACCATGCCTCGTTTAGAAGGTATCTTTTGGGTTGCCAAGACATGGTTTCTCTATGTAACCCTGGCTGTCCTGGAACTCACAGCTCCACTGCCTCCCGAGTGCTGGGATTAGAGGCTAGAGGCATGCACCACCCACCTGTCTAGAGGGTGTCTTTTAAACAAAAACACTTAAAATTCAATACTGATTGGCTGATAAAGGATGTAGACTAGGCTGCTCCTGAACTAACAAAGATCCTCCTGCCTCCGCCTCCAAATGCTGTGTGTGTGTGGGCCGCCAGCCCCCAGATCATGACACGTAGACTTATTGTTAATTATGAATGCTCGACCTTAGCTTAAGCTTGTTTCTAGCTAGTTTTCTAGTTTGAGTTAAAGTTACATTAACCCATTTCTGTTCATCTCCGAGTTGCCCTGCCTCATTTACCTCATCTACATACAGTCTAATCCACTTTCCTGCTTCCTCCGTGTCTGACTGGCTGGACCCCTCTTCTCTCTGCCCGCCTGCCCTGCGTGTCCTTCCTATGCCTAGCTATTTTCAGCTTTTTATTAGACCAGACAGATACCTTGGACAGGCAAGCTGAAACAGCAACACATCTTTACATAATTAGACAAATGCAGCATAAACAAACACGACACATCTTTACATAGTTAAACACAATATTCTACTCCACAATAGCTGGGGCTAAAGGGTCACTGCAGTCCTGTGGTAGTCAAGCACACCTTTAATCCCAGCACCAGTACTTGAGAGGCAGAGGTAGGGGAATCTCTGTGAGTTCAAGGACTGCCTGGTTTACAGAGCAAGTTCTACGACAGCCAAGGCTATACAGAGAAACCCTGTCTCAAAAACAACAACAACAACAACAAAAAAGCAAAAAAGATTTACTTGTTTTTATTTTATGTGATTAGTATTTTGCCTATGTGCTTGTATGTTCGTGTGTTGATGTGTTCTGTGTTCATGTGTTGATGCCTGTGGAGGCCAGAAGTGGGCATCACATCCCCTAGAACTGGAGTTTCAGATGGTTGTAAGATGCCAGGCAGGTGCTAGGTGATGAACACAGGTCCTTTGCAAGAGCAGCCAGTGCTTTTAAGTGCTGAGTTATCTCCCCACCCCACCCGCCATCGTTTTTAATTTAATTCCATTTATGTATGTTCAGGTCAGAGACAACCTGCAAGAACCATCTCGCTCCTACCATGTGGTCCCCAGGATCAAACTCAGATAGTCAGACTTGAAGAACAATGCTTTTATGCCCTAAGCCATCTTGCTAGTCCAAGATCACATCAAGTCTGAGGCCTGCTTGGACTGTGTACTTTGAAGGTAGCCTGGAATACAGAGAGACAACTTCTTACCTTAAAACAAGCAAACAGAAAAAGGGCTGGAGAGATGGCTCAGTGGTTAAGGGCACTGCTTCTCTTCCAGAGGTCCTGAGTTCAATTCCCAGGCTCTGAATGGTGGCTCACAGCACAGCCATCTGTAACTGTAGTCCCATGAGACCCAACACCTCCTTCTGGTGTGCAGATGGACATGCAGATGAAGTGCCGTATACATTAAATAAGTCTTTAGAGGTCGGTGATGGTGTAGGCCTTTAATCCCAGCACAAGGGAGGCAGAAGCAGACGGATCTCTGAGTTCAAGGCCAACATGGTCTACAGATTGAGTTCCAGGACAGCCAGGGCAATGCAGAGAAACTCTGTCTTGAAGAACTATAAAAATAATAATGGAAAAAAAGAGAAATGTGAACATACACACGCAATTTGTGGAAGCTGGTCACAGCAGTTGCTGCTAGGAAGGGAACCAAGCGGTTTGAGGCAAGAGGGGGGGAGCCGCTTTTTCCCTATCTACTTCTTTTGAATCTATTTTGTATGCAAAAGATGGGGAAAAAATACCTGCTGGCAGGGTGGAAAAGGCAGTAGTGACCATTGAGCTTCCCCTAAGAATCGCTGCAGAGGGAAGTGGAGAGGGACGTGTGCACAGGACCGTGGAGGTAGACGTAATCACCAGGGGCTCAGTGTACTTTACCCAAGTAGAAGACCTAGGAGGAATGCTTTGTTTCACCCAAGGGAGGACCCGTACCTGGTCACACACAACCTTACAACCTTACCCATTCTCTTACCTTACCCTGCTCTTAATTCTGTCCTTGAAATGGATCCCAGTACCCAGTAGGCTGAGCAGACCAGGAAGCGACTTCATGGGCTTCTTCCACACCGTATTGCTGGTTTTTCTGCCTGGCTCGGTGTGTAGGGGGAGGGAGGGCGGGGAGTGTTAGGTGGGGGGTTAGGGCATCTGCTCCCTAGCCCTGTCTAGAGTGCCTCTTGCTCTCTAGGTGGCCAAGACCAAGCAGCAGATCGAGGAGCAGCGGGTGCAGGTGCAGGTGGTGGAGCGCGCCCAGCAGGTGGCAGTGCAGGAGCAGGAGATCGCCCGGCGCGAGAAGGAGCTGGAGGCCCGCGTGCGCAAGCCTGCGGAGGCTGAGCGCTACCGGCTTGAACGCCTGGCGGAAGCAGAGAAGTAACACCCATTTCTCGCGCCCGTCCTGGCCCCTAGACATTCAGGCAGGCAAGTGTACGACAATGAACCCACTTCTCTTCTATCCCCAGGGCCCAGCTGATCATGCAGGCAGAGGCCGAAGCTGAGTCTGTAAGGGTAAGTTGGGGCATGGCTCCTGTTTGGCACAGGGAAGGGCTTGGTCAGGGTTTCTTAATCCTTTTTGCTTGTTTTGGTTTTTTGAGACTATCTCACTGTGTAAAACAGCAGACTGGAACTCACTGTATAAAACCTCAGACTGGATTCAAACTCACACAGATCTGCAAGTTCTGGGATTAAAGGCATGCACAATTGCACCCAGCTGTCTATTTTTTGCTTTTTAATACGGAGGACAGGATGGTGCATGTACTACTACTATCTTGCCAGGGTGGAGGTCAGATCTCTTCTTCCATACATGTGAATCCCGGGGATTTTAACTTAGGGGGTAAACTTAGCACTTTATTCTCTGAGTCAACTCATTGCCGTCGGAATTTCATATTCTTAACGAGTGCCGTCAGTCTCAAATGCCCTGTACCCTCTACAGATGCGTGGGGAAGCGGAGGCCTTTGCCATAGCGGCGCGCGCCCGAGCCGAGGCTGAACAAATGGCTAAGAAGGCAGAAGCCTTCCAGATGTACCAGGAGGCCGCCCAGCTGGACATGCTGCTAGAGAAGCTGCCCCAGGTCTGGGGGCGGGTGGGACTCTGGGAGAGGGGTGAGGTGAAGTAGGTGACTAGGAGTGCCAGCTGCAAGCCAGTGACCAGAGTGAGGCGTTCCGGTCAGTAGTTGGGCGAGTTTGATGGGAGCTGTGGTCTGAGCTATCTCTACCCACCAGGTGGCAGAAGAGATCAGTGGTCCCCTGACCTCAGCCAATAAGATCACGCTGGTATCTAGTGGAAATGGAACGGTGGGGGCAGCCAAAGTGACCGGGGAAGTACTGGACATCCTAAGCCGCTTGCCAGAGAGTGTGGAGAGACTCACGGGTGTCAGCATCTCCCAGGTGAGGGTGGATCCTGTGTGTGTGTGTGCGCACACGTGCGTGCATGCGTGTACACCTGTGTCATGTGATACAGTAGGCTAAGTGCTTGATGGGCATCCAGGAACCCGGGAAGTCACAGACAGTGCTTCCTTGGTGCCCCAAGTCACCCTGTTGAGGACCCACCATGTCAGGTTCTTCCTTGGCAAGTTCCAAGCCAGTGAGACCCTGAAAACAAAGAGGTGAACAGTGCTTGAGGAACCACAGCCGCGGTTATCCTTCGCCCTCCACACACAAGTGCACATGCAAGAGAACTCCCTCCAACATGTTAAATAATGTGGCCCCCACGGCTGGGAGAGCCTCCCCACCTGTGGGTTACGGCAAAGGTCAGAATGCTGTAAGTCACAGCCCCCTTGCTGGGGCATTGGGGAGATTGTTTCCAGAGTGCCTAGGGCAATGTTATGTGTGCCACAAAAATGTGTAGTTGGGTGTAGACGTACAAACCTCTAATCTCAGCACACAGGGGGCAGAAGCAGGCTGATCTGTGAATTTGAGACCATCTGGGGCTACATAGTGTGACCCTGTTTGGGAGGCTATTCTGGAACTCACTCTGTAGACCAAACTGGCTTCAAACTCAGGAGGCATCCTCCTGAGTGCTGGGAGTAAAGGCATGCACCACCACTGCCAGGCAAGACAAACCCTGTCTTTGTTTTTTGAATTAGGGTTACTCTGTGTAGCTTGAGCCTATCATTGAACTCAGAGATTTACCTGCCTCTGCCTCTTGAGTGCTATATTTAAGGTGTGAGCCAAGACCATCTCAAAATTAAAAGCACCCTTCACCAAGCTGGGTTTGTTGGACCATCCTTGAAACCTGAGCTAGGTTCCTTGCTATGGAGAAGTATGCAAAGCTCTGGTCCCTCTGACCTTCAGTGACAGATCTCCAGGACATTGATGCCTGGACTTGCTCTGTAGACCAGACTGATCTGCCTGAGTACGTGCCACCTCACCCAAGATTGTTGGCCCTTTCAGTGCCCTCCTGAACCCATCCTTCCAAGTGGTTGCTGGGGAGAGCCGGTGCCTAGTCCCACACATCCCTTTCTTTTCCTCTAGGTGAATCACAAGCCTTTGCGGACAGCGTGAGCCATCAGCCGCAGTGGTCATTGTATGCACCTCTCCTGGTCCTGAGCATGCCTCCTGGCAGAGGTGCACCCTGTCTCCTTGCCAAAGTCTGTGCCTTGCCTTGGAGGGGTCTGCTCCCTTCTCAGCCCATTGCCAGTGCCCAGATTTTCGAAGTCTGGTGTCTGATGTTTGAAGATGCCACTTAAGCCCATCCCAACTATTTAACTTCCTGATTAAACTAGACTGTGTGAACCTGTTTGGATGCTTCTTTCTTCAACACCAAAAGATGACCCTTGTTAAATAAACCAAGTATTGATATAGTTTGCAGCATGCCAGAAGCATGAGAATCACAAGTTCCACATCAGCCTGAACTACCCAGCAAGAACCCAATTCACTAGAGGTGGGCTGCAGGGCATACTGGGCATCAGACTTCTGCAAGCGAGACACCATCTGAGGTACCACAGCAGATGCCAGAGTACGTGATACGGTATTCGCAGGTAACCCTAAAACACCCTGCTTTATACATTAAATCAAAGCCCATTGTACCTTATCAACTAGTAGTGTGGCAGCCCCTGACCACCTATGGCTTTCAGACCCAATCACCTAGTAGTTAAGGGCAGCCTGGGCAGTCAGGAGACACTGCTAACTGAAACCTCTACCACTGACCTGTGTCCTGAAACAGGGCAGGGACACAGGTCAGTGGTAGAGCATAGGGCAATGCTCCACCCCCAACCCTACAGAATGATATGAATAGGGCTGATAGGATTGGATACTGAGCTGGGCCCCACGCCTCGGCCATGACTTGACCTGACCCTGAATGACCACACCTCACACCTTTTTTCCAACTCCCATTTATTTGTCGGCTCTTGGGGCAATGTCATCTTTTCAATATGAAAAAAAAAGCAGCCAAGTTCAACACAAAAAAGAAGGGTAGGGTAGGACTAAACCAGGAAGAAAACGGCAGAAGCAGAGACAGGTCCCAAACACCCTGGTGGTGGCAGCACCCCTTTCCAGGTTTGGAGGTGAAATGGACAGCCAGAGACCAAGGCTCTGCTCCACTCCCGCCTTAGAGAAAGAAGGAATACAGGGAGGACACCTCCAATGGCAGATTTGGCTCAGGACAGCTGGAGGTTATAAATGGAGATAATACTGTTAATCCCTCCCCTGAGGCTGAGAGATGAGGCAGAGAAAAACCTGTCAATTGAAAAAGCCTCAGTGGATTCCCCTGTGTAAATGGCCTTGACTGGAAACCCCACCCCTCTTCCCAGTGACCTCTACCTGGCACCCCTCTTCCCTTCCTGATCTCCTTAGCTTTAGGATGGTGGCCACTATTTGGGTCTTTAGTAATGGACTTGTTCTAGGCAGACTCTCGAGCACAACTCGGATTCCTGGGGAATATAATAGAAATAGACAGTCATGAGAAATGGGTACCAGAAAGAAACAGGGCAACACTCAGAATGGCAGAAGTGTAGGTTTGTCAGAGTGGAAAGAGAAAGGAGACATTCCACAAACAAATATTTATTGAGCGCCTACTATGTGCCAGGCACCGTTCACTTCCCCCCTCCCGCCCCAGTGAAAAAACAAAAACAAAACAGGACAGAGGCAGCAGAAAGAAAACTGAAGGAGAAAAATGGGCAGCTGAAGAAAGCTGAGGGGACTAAGCAGCCTGAGGTGATGCGGGGCTCTCTGCCTTAGGCCTCTTCTTCTGCCTCCTCCCCGAAATCCTCCTCCTCTTCTGCGGTGGCATCCTGGTACTGCTGATACTCGGAGACGAGGTCATTCATGTTGCTCTCGGCTTCAGTGAACTCCATCTCGTCCATGCCCTCGCCCGTGTACCAATGGAGGAAGGCCTTCCGGCGGAACATGGCGGTGAACTGCTCCGAGATGCGCTTGAAGAGCTCCTGGATGGCCGTGCTGTTTCCGATGAAGGTGACCGCCATCTTGAGGCCACGGGGTGGGATGTCACAGACTGCTGTCTTGACGTTGTTGGGGATCCATTCCACAAAGTAGCTGCTATTCTTATTCTGCACATTGAGCATTTGCTCATCTACCTCCTTCATGGACATCCGCCCGCGGAAGACGGCTGCGACGGTGAGGTATCGGCCATGGCGAGGGTCACAGGCTGCCATCATATTCTTGGCATCGAAGACCTGCTGGGTAAGTTCTGGCACAGTGAGGGCCCGGTACTGCTGGCTTCCACGGCTAGTGAGCGGGGCAAAGCCGGGCATGAAGAAGTGGAGACGAGGGAAGGGCACCATGTTGACAGCAAGCTTTCGGAGGTCAGCATTGAGCTGGCCTGGGAAGCGGAGGCAGGTGGTGACACCGCTCATGGTGGCCGAGACGAGGTGGTTCAGGTCTCCATAGGTTGGCGTGGTGAGCTTGAGGGTGCGGAAGCAGATGTCATAAAGGGCCTCGTTGTCAATGCAGTAGGTCTCATCGGTGTTCTCGACCAGCTGATGAACGGAGAGGGTGGCGTTGTAGGGCTCGACCACGGTGTCGGACACTTTGGGCGAAGGCACCACGCTGAAGGTATTCATGATACGGTCAGGGTACTCTTCTCGGATCTTGCTGATGAGCAGGGTGCCCATCCCGGAACCCGTGCCTCCACCCAGAGAGTGGGTCAGCTGAAAGCCTTGCAGGCAGTCACAGCTCTCGGCCTCCTTCCGCACCACATCCAGAACGGAGTCGACCAGCTCAGCTCCCTCTGTGTAGTGACCCTTAGCCCAGTTGTTGCCTGCCCCAGACTGACCTGGAAATGTGGACAGGAAGAAAATTAAAAGCTTAGTCACTAAGATAGAGAAGAGACATACATGATTATCACTAATCTTCCAACTTTTGGAATAATCCCTCTTGGTACATGAAAATAAATTTTATGTAACTCACCAAAAACAAAGTTGTCTGGTCTGAAGATCTGGCCAAAAGGACCTGATCGAACAGAGTCCATGGTCCCGGGTTCTAGATCCACCAAGATAGCTCGTGGGACATACTTGCCACCTAAAGAGATTCAAGTAAACGTTTGAGAGCCCTCTACAGTGAAGATCAATTTTGGGTGGGAAATGACACAAACCACTAAACTTGTCATTCCAGGAACTGCCACCTGGTGGCAGTAGAGCTCATCTCTGGCCCCTTATGGTGGGTGTCTAATGGAAAAGGGAGATTTTTCATGCAAATGGTTTAACATTATAATGTGGGAAATCAGGGCATGGGGATGCCGCCTTTTACGTCCAGTACTTGGGAGGTGGCCCGATCTTTTTAAGTTTCAGACTGCAAAATCAGATCCTGTCTCGATAGCGTAGAGTTTGAAAAGACCAGGGAGAAGTGTTAACAGCGAAAAAGGAGCGGGATTTTCGCCCTTACCTGTGGCTTCATTGTAGTAGACAGAGATTCGGTCCAGCTGCAGGTCGCTGTCTCCGTGGTAGGTACCGGTGGGGTCGATGCCGTGTTCATCGCTTATCACCTCCCAGAACTGCACAGAGAAGAGCAATGAGCCATCAATGGCTCAAGTCCTAAGGGATGACTCCCCGCCCGCATTTCAATTCTAGCCATGCTCGAACGAAGCTGAGGTGTAGAAACTGCAATTCCGTTATCTGCCTGCCGAACCTCCACCAGGGGGATAAAAAAAAAAATCACCGTATTTGTGGCTAGGATTAAGTTCAAGGGGATGAAGGTTGCGAGCATTCATATGGACGGACGGACTGGACATCCACCCGCCCATTTGGCCAGAACCCAGCCAAGCGCTTCTGGATGGCCACCGCCCCTCTAGGCCAGCACAAAAGAGGGTTGGGGGAGAAAGGTGCGGCCACTGCAGTTGCCCACCCCTTACTCGTTCCACGTGACTGCGGTGGCGGGCCGGTCTTCAGGCAGCCCACAAAGGCGGGAGTAGCGTGGGCGGGGCCTGGCACGAGGGGCGGGATCAGTGCGCCCCCGCCGGCTAAGGCTGCATTGTCCCTGCGCGCCAGGGGCGGTAGCCCCGCCCCCGGAGGGTCCCACCCTTCGGCTACAATTTAGCGGCCGCACTTCCTCCTCCCCACCCCTCCCCCGCTACATTGTAATTGCGCGCAAAAAAAAAAAAAAAAAGCATGGCTTCAGATTTTTATTCCTTTGCTAGCTTTCCCTGTCCTAAATAGTCTCTCTCTCGCACACACAGTTCCGAGACTTATAGGCACACAAGCCTCTAGCTTTTCCATGAGGTCACACCCTAAGATTTCTTAAAGGCAAGAAAAGTAAGAGTAGCCCCCTACACAGAATCAGAACCATCATCTACCTAGAAGCTAAAACAAGCCTGCAGATGTGCCCTACGTTCTCCAAGCCTTTGTTGAGAGGTAACGCGCAAAGGACCACGCCGTAGGGATCTCTGCAGCTGCCCGCCCAACCTCTCCCCTTCCCCCTCCAGCCCTGCTCAAGGCCCTTCAGGCGGGGTGGGGGTGCCGCAAGGGGAAAACCTTGCTTCGGCTTTGTTTCGGATCGTTTCCGCATCTCTCCTCTCCAGTTCTCGAACCGTTAGAAAACACCTCTAGATAGGTACTTTACAGTTCCACAGACTCCCGGTTCCCTAAACACTAAGGTCTCTTTTAACGGCTTTGCGAAAATGTGCCAAGAAAAATATTTCTCCATTTCTCAGCATCAGAATGCTAGCCACAAATATGGATTATATTGATACGTGCAAAACTTTGCGGGGCAGAGCTAACGAATGGAGAATACAAGCCCCTGGTAACATCACTCATGATTAACCTGGATTTTTCATGTCCACATCACATTTTTCACCTAAATTTTAAAATCCTTACCTTAGCACCAATCTGGTTGCCACACTGTCCGGCCTGGATGTGCACGATTTCCCTCATGGCTTTAAGATAGGTACCGAGCAAGAAAAGATAATTGTTTTTCTTTCTGGGCTGGTCTCAGGCTGAAAGGATGGAACGTGGCCCCGGAGGCTGGAGCAGCGAGATGCGACCACGACCGCAGGAAGGTTCTAAGAGGCAGGAGAGGCCGGCGAGCGCAGGAGGGAAGGCGCGCAGGGCGGGGCGCGCGTTCGCGCGGTCGGGGGCGGGAGATAGGCGGGAGCCCCTGGTCGCAGACAAAGCCTCTCCAGCCCGGCGCTGATTCGACCACTAGATCACGTGCCAGGCGACCATTGGTCTAGGAACCACTGGCGAGCGCAGTCCTTTTCGGGAGTTGTAGTTCTCTATTGTCCACGCTGCAAAATGAAGTTAGGCATGGGTGGATACTGTGGGAGGTTTAGTGGGTAGTTTGCGAGTGGGTGTGATTGTATTTATTTTTAATGGAACTTGACCTCTCACGAGATTCCAATCCTCTAGTCCTGAGAGAGGTTTTTGTGCTAAGAAGTTTTGGGAGGTCTGAGGTGCCCTCAATTGGGAGATGGGATAGGCACGCCCAGCAAGCTGCCCACCCCAGTAGATCTGGTAAGGGCAGACTGCATAGCTCAGCGGAAAGTCCCGAGAAATGTGGCGTCCTGCCCTGATACATACTATCTAGTTCTTTGTGGTCCCAAGACAGGAACTTCAGTAAGCACCATCACTCCCTCGCATCCCTCCTGAAGAAAAGGATTGTCCTCCTGTTTCTGAGGGAGTTGTCCCAAGGATGTTTCGAAAGAGAAACAAAATTGCAAGGACTTTTCAGACTAGAAATGTTGCCTAGGAGGGATGCTCATGAAGGGTGAAAGTGTAAATCTGCGCGTGGGGGTGGTGAGGTGGGGTTGGGCCTTTAGGACGACAGTGAAGACATCCTAGCCTTCTTGTTAATATAGACTGAAATAGAATTCCTACTTGAATATCAGCGTCTTCTGATGCCTCTCAGACACCTGGGTTTTTGGTTGGTTGATTTTATTCACTAGGTGTGGCTGTGGCAGAGTCCTGCAACTGTGAAAAAGGGGATAGGGGAACTGAATGGATTCAGGTCAGAGCCCATAAGCTTCCCAGGGTTCATTTGATAGAAACTAAGTACCCTAAAAAGTGTAAAGGGAGCTGGACGGTGGTGGCACACGCCTTTAATCCCAGCACTTAGGAGGCAGAGGCGGGCAGATCTCTGTTGAGTTCAAGGCCAGCCTGATCTACAGAGCTAGTTCAGTCCAGGACAGGCTCCAAAGCTACAGAGAAACCCTGTTCGGGTTGGTGTTGGGGGGGAGGAGGTTGTAAAGTTGTAAAGGGATACAAAATGATTAACTAGAATCAGAACAGGGCTGGTTTACACTGGTGTTTTCTAACTTGGAGGCAGAAGGATCTCAGGAAGTTCAAGGTCAACCTGGGCTATTTATGAGAATTACTGGACAGCCTGAGGTACAGTTTCAGACTGTAAAATTAGCTTTTGCCTAGCTTCCCAAGCAGTAGGGAGGTTGAGGCAGAAGGATTCTTGTACGTTGAAGGCTAACCTGGTCTACAAAATGAGAGTCTGTCTTGAAAACAAAACATACATTCAGCTGGAGAGAGATGACTCAGCAATTAAGACTATTTGCTGTTTTCGAAGAAGACCCAAGTTCAATTCCCATCACCCACAGAAAGGCTTTCAACTATCCATAAGTCCAGTTCCAAGGGACCATACACCCTTTTCTGTCCTCTGCAGGCATGTGGCACACAAATAGTGAGTGCACAGACAGACATCCAAGCAAGGTACTAATACACATAAATACCTCTTTAAGAAAAAGAGGAAGCCGCCGGGTGGTGGTGGCACAAGCCTTTTAATTCCAGCACTCTGGAGGCAGGGGCAGGCAGATCTCCGTGAGTTGTGAGTTCAAGGCCAACCTGGTCTACAGAGCAAGTTCCAGGCCAGGCTGCTGCAAACCAACAACAAACCCGCCTTAAAAAACCAAAAAAAAAAAAAAAAAAAAAAAGAAAGAAAGAAAGAAAGAAAAGGAGAAAATATACACGCCTTTAATTCCAGCAATCGGGAGGATCTTTGTGAGTTCGAGGCCAGTTGTGGTCTACAAGAGCTAGCTCCAGGATAGGCTCCAAAGCTACAGAGAAACCCTGTCTCAAAAACCAAAGAAAAGAAAAAAGAAAAAAAGGAAATGAGGCTGGAGCAATGGCTCAGTGGTTAAGAGCACTGGTTGTTCTTCCAGAAGATTCGAATTCAATTCCCAGCACTCCCATGCAGCTCACAACTGTCTTTAACTCCAGTTCCAAAGCAAGACATAAAGTTAAATGAAATATTTAAAAGAGAGCTAGAGAGGTGTGATAAGTAGTACGTAGAAGTGTGTTGGCCCAGACAGAGGCCGGAGGATCAGGGAGTTCAAGGCTGACCTGATGTGTCAGTTCTAAGCCTCACTATGTACATCGTGAGGTACATAGTGAGACCCTTTCTCTGTCAGAAAGAAAATGTATCAAAGACATTGTTAATATTCAATCAATACCCAGATAAAGTCATCTTTTAAATAAAAGAACATTAACTAGCATTAATGTCGCCTTGTTCATTAAAAAATATGTTTTGGTTTTGGTGATGCTAACAATGAAAGCAATTATTTTTGGTTTCTTGAATTTGAATTTATCCCATTAACGGTAGGAACATGGGGAAGGAATCCAACTTAGAGCTTCAAACGTGTGCTGATTTGTTTATTGTGAACATACCGAGATAACCAATGGAAAAGAGCCCTAAACTACCCAAGCACAATTTCTTGCTATGCTTTCATCTTTTATTATGATAATGAAATAAATTATTATATTTTTCTCTTTTCGGTGTTTTGAAAGATGACAGCTTTGAGGTTTTAGCAAAACAGCTTGCCTAGCCACGTTTGTTTTATTTAGGATTTTCCATTTAGGAAGCTGACCTCAAAATGTCCGTCATCTTATATATATTTTTACTAAGCCGTCTAAACCAAAAAGAAATGAAATTCCTCTGCAATGGGGAGTTCTCAAGCGCCACGCCTACGGGCAGTTTTCCAATCTGCAACCTCCAGCCACGACTGCAGCCTGCAACCCTTCATTTCTCGTGAGCCGGCCGGCGCCATTTCTGGAATGACCGAGAAGGGCGCTCTGGCCTCGGGACGAAGTCTATGGTACGGCCCTTCTAGCCGCCGCCAGGTACTGGCGCCAGACTCTCTGGTAGGCGTTTGGAAATCTGCGCGGGAAGTGTGCGGTTGGATGACGTCGCGCCGGTGGGTTGGCCCAGGGCGCTGGCCAATCACCGGGCTGGATTCTCAGGCCCCCCGCCAGCCCCTGTCTGTCCCCAGCGTTTCCTTCGGCGTGTTTCCCGCCGCTACCCACACTTTAAAGCTGTGAGGGGCGAGGTGGGGGCGGGGCTTCCTGTGCGGGATTTTAATCAATCGGCGCGCTCCGACCTGTAAAAGACAGCTCCAGGAGCCAATCAACGCATCGGCCCTCTTCCGGGATCCGCATTCCCGCCACCCCGCCGGCGGCCGTTACTGGTGGCGCGCGCGCGGGGTTTCGTAGGTGAGTTCGGCCGCCCGCGCCCCGCTTACCTCCTCCAGGCCTCTCGCGGGCCGGAGGGGCGTGCCTTAGGAGTCACTGGGCGGAGGTAATGTGGGCTGCCCGTTTAGATCCTCACGCTAATTATGGCCCCGGTGTAGGTTCGGTGACTCGGAATCTTTAGGCCACGAGGGAACACAGTCGCGCGTGGGTCAAAGATGGTTGCTCTTCAAATTGGAGCGAGAGTCGTAGGCGTCGGCTGGGTTGACAGGACGGAGTTTCCTTCTTGGGGTTCCCTACTTTCCCTGTCAACGGCTTCCCCATGTGTGGCATCTTTATAGGTAAAACCTACCCGTGTAGTTTTGAATTTTTTTCCTTAGTCTGTAGCTCTGGAGATGGAGCTCCCATGAGAGCAGGGTTTATTTTGATTGAGGCTATGTGCCAAATATCGCGAAAGGGGCCAGGTGCCCTTAATGTTGTAAATTAGAGAAGCCGGACCCCAGTGTGGGGGTGGGAGATGTAGATACAGTCCCACCTGTTCCGATCTGGAGGAATTTGTGAAAGACGTGTTTGAATTTAATCCAAACAGAGTTCGGATCAGTTAGGCTCTTGCCAAGGCGTTACCAGGATCCTTAAAACCCATCTGTGTCGTTTCTCATCTGAAAAAAAAAAAAAAAAAGGTTATATTTACAGGATTCTTCGGAAGAATAAATCAGTCAGTCAGCCTAAAGTATTAAAACAGTTTGACCTGGGCAAGGTGGTGCACGCCTTTAATCCCAGCACTCAGGCAGAGGCAGGCGGATCTCTGAGTTCATGGCCAGCCTGGTCTACAGAGTGAGTCCCAGGACAGCTAGGGCTACAGAGAAACCTGTCTTGGCGGGGAAAAATGAAAACAGTTTTTTAACATAACGTAAGTCTCTAGGTTAGCATTTGTGGTTCTTTGCACTTCAAGCTGAGGTATGCTGACAAGAGTGTATAAATTATGGACTTTGTACAAGGGTCAGAGCTTGTTCCTAAGTTCTCTGTGTCCTTAGAGGTTAGAAAAATACAGAAAACAGTATATTTCATATAGCAATTTCTCAACACCACACTTACACACAGGCGAGGCCTGGTTCTAAGGAAGGTGTCAGATCCCCTGGAACTTGCATTACAAACTGCTGTGAGCTATGTGGGTTTTGGGAACTGAACCCAGGTCCTCTTGAAGAGCACGTTGAACTCTTTAACCACTGAGCCATTCCTTCAACCGCTAAACTTTCTGGTTTTTTATTTTTATTTTTTGTTTTTTTGAGACAGGGTTTCTCTGTAGCTTTGGAGCCTGTCCTGGAACTAGCTCTTGTAGACCAGGCTGGCCTTGAACTCACCGATCCACCTGCCTCTGCCTCCCAAGTGCTGGGTTTAAAGGTGTGTTACCACCGCCCAGCTCAACTTGCTATTTTTTATTTTCCTTTTTTTTAAGATTTATTTATTTATTATGTATACAGTATTCTGTCTGTCTGTATGCTTGCTGGTCAGAAGAGGGCACCAGATCTCACTACAGATGGCTGTGAGCCACCATGTGGTTGCTGGGAATTGAACTCAGGACCTCTGGAAGAGCAGTTAGTGCTCTTAACCTCTGAGCCATCTCTCCAGCCCATCTTGCTATTTTTTAAAAACAGGGTCTTGTTTGTTTGATTTGAAGTGGGGTTTCTCTGTAGCCTTAGTTGTCCTAGAACTCATTTTGTAGATCAGGCAGGCCTCGAACTCAGAGATCCTCATGCCTCTACCTCCCACGTGCTGTAATTAAAGGCATACGCCACCTCTGCCCAACTTTAAAAAAGGTCTTGACATGTCTGAGCTTACATGGAGCTCCTGGACTCGGGCAGTTTGACTGCTTCAGCTTGCGGAGTAGCTGGTGCTGTGGACTTTACACCACCTCAATCCAGTTTCTCATGCTTTTATATACTTTATAGTCTAGCTCAGTGGTAGAGCATTTGCCTTGTGTGCTGCCTAGGTTTAGTCTCTGGCACCTAAAATCCCATAAAATACCCCTTTGTAAATGATATTCTTGAACCTTAATTCTTTGTCATGACCAAAAGTATAAATATGCACATTGTATTATTTGTCTCATTTTGGAGGACAAAATCTTAGTACCCAAGACTGGTTTCCACACACAGTTTTGTTGTTGTTGGAGACAGGGTCTAACTTTGTAGACTACAAATATAAGACCAACATTGAACTCAAAGAACTCTGGCTGCCTCTGCCTCCCAAGTGCTATACCTGCTATACCATGTGTATATCATTGTACCTGGCTAAGTCTCCCAACTCTTAATCTTCCTGCCTCAGCACCCCAAGTGCTGGGATTACAGATGTATGACAACATGTTTGAATCAAAAAAGATTTTTGTTTGCTTGTTTTTAGACAGGGTTACTCGGTGTAGTCCTGACTGTCCTGGAACCCACTATGTAGACTAGTGTAGCCTTGAACTCGGATATCACTCATCTCTACCTCTCAAGTGCTGGGATTAAAGGGGTGTGCCATTTACTACCAAGCCCCCAAAAAAGTGTGTTGTTTTTTATTTTGCATTGGTAGTTTTAAGTGTTGAACATATGGCCTCAAATAGGCTAGCCAAACAATTTACCACTGACATATTCTTACTATCTGCCCCCCCCCAGTATTTTTACATACTTCAGAATGACTGACAGAAAAGCATCAGTCACCTCATGGTGGCTCCCATCTTTAATCCCAGCACTCAGTAGTCAGAGACAGGTAGATCTGAGTTTGAGGCCAGCCTGGTCTACAAAGTGAGTTCCAGGAGAGCCATACATAGAGAAACTGTGTCTGGGGAAAAACAGAAAATGAGAAAGAAAAGCATCATCTCCATATGTATCCAGGTTTACCTCCAGTTATTTTTTCCTCTATAAGCGTTTATATAAACTAATGACAGGAACAATGATAATGTGTTTTCTTCACAGATCATGGAAAACACCCAGGTTATTGACTGGGATGCTGAAGAAGAGGAGACAGAAATATCCAATGGGTCCCTGGGGCATAGCTTGGAGCCTATAGGGCGGCTGCGTCTCTTCAGTAGTGCTCATGGACCAGAACGAGGTCAGGAATTATTGATTAAGAACTTGAAATAAAAATGCAGTATGGGGGCTGAAGAGATGATTCAGTAATTAGGGTACTTTACTGCTCTTTTAGAGGACCTGGTTTGTGGTCAGAGCACCCACATGATGAGCCATGTGTACCTGTAGCTCCAGGGTGCCTGCACAGACATGGTGGACATACACTCATACAGGTGCACACAAATACATAATAAGGAAATTTCTTTTTTGTTTTTTCGAGACATGATTTCTCTTTGTAGCTTTTACAGCTACACACAAAAACCCCAGCCAGGCATATAATTTTTTAAATTAAAATACATTGTGGCCTAGAAATGGGTATTGGTGATTATAGAAGGACAATGGATAATGTAATACAACTGAACAGTATCCTCACAATGATTGAGATGCTTAGATTGGTATTGTGTATATTTTTTTTTATCTCTCTGTGTAGTTCTTTCTGTCCTGGACTCACTATGTAGACCAGCTTCAAACTCACAGAGCTCCACTTACCTCTGCCTCTCAAATGCTAGAATTAAAGACCTGTGCCGCTGCGCCCAGCCTGTATTGTGTATTTTATCCAACGAAAAACACCCTTTGGTCATGGTAGTGTCTGTGATTCCTGTATTCAGGAGGTGAATCTAGAGTTTGAGGATAGCCTAGACTACATAGTAAGTTTGAAAACCATCTGGGCTACATAATGAGACCCTGGATCAAAAACAAAGCAAGGGCTGTAGTTCAGGGAAGAGTGCTTAGCTAGTATGCATAAAACTGTGTTTTCAAGTTTGAGCAATTAGAAAAAAACAAGAACAGTGTGAGTAGATAAAATACTGCAGGTGAGTAATGTATTGTAAGTGCTCTTTAGTCAGGTGGTGGTGGCGCCGCATACCTGATTTTAATTCCAGCACTCAGAAGGCAGAGACAGGCAGATCCCTGTGAGTTCAAGGCCAGCCTGGTCTACAGAGTGAGTTCCAGGACAGGCTCCAAAGCCACATAATGAAACCTTGTCTCAACCACCACCACCACCCCCACAAAAACAAATAAATAAATAAACAAACAAACAAAAAAATCCTACTCTGACCAAAAGTAAATGCTCTCCTCTGCTGGTTATTTTTTGATCCCTATAAGAGCTTTGAGTGAATAGTAGGGTATCATCTTTAGGCCAGGATTCCTCTGGTTTTAATATTTCTGTTTGACCTATTATGTTTCTTTTCAATCCTTAGATTTCCCTCTCTACCTTGGCAAGAATGTAGTTGGCAGAAGCCCTGACTGCTCTGTGACCCTGCCTTTTCCATCCATCTCTAAACAGCATGCAGTCATTGAGATCTCTGCGTACAACAAAGCCCCTATCCTCCAGGATTGTGGGAGCCTCAATGGCACTCAACTCGTAAAGCCCCCTAAGGTCCTAACCCCTGGAGTGAGCCATCGTCTGAAGGACCAGGAATTAATTCTGTTTGCAGACTTTCCCTGCCAGTACCGTCGCTTGGATGTCCCTCCACCTTTGGTCTCTCGGGGATTTCTAACTATAGAAGGGACCCCCAGAATACAGGGAGAATCCCAGACCTCCAGAGTTTTGTTGGCTGAGGATTCAGAGGAGGAAGTGGGTAAGTTTGTGCCTTGGGAGTGTGTGTAAATACAGGGATGAAGATGTAAGCTTCCAATTTATTCCTTCCTGTTCTTGCCAGATTTTCCTTCTGGAAGGTGTGTGGCAAATGGATCAAGAAATCCAACATCGCCATCAGCAACAGTTGTTCCGGAGAGGTAAGTACCAAAGCACCAGATAACCGAGTCTTTCATTTTGTTTGGCAATCCAGTTTGAGTATTGGGATAACAGGTTTGAGCCATCTATAACAGGTTTGAGCCATCTTACCTGGTTTTAGACACCTGCACTTTTGAATAAGGAGTTAAAGTGTCAATCTTGAAGAGATGAGATGATTTTTTTAAAGATTTATTTATTTATTATGTATACAGTGTTCTGTTTGCATGTATGCCACCAGATCTCATTATAGATGGTTATGAGCCACCATGTGGTTGCTGGGAATTGAACTCGGGACCTCTGAAGAGCAGGCAGTGCTCTTAACCTCTGAGCCATCTCTCCAGCCCCCAAGATGATTCTCTTGAAAGGTGGAGGTGAGAGCCTAGGCATAATCTTTTTCTCAGATAAATTAAATTATGGTGAGCATTTCTGGTATACTCAGTGGAGACGGGAAAAGCAGCTGCCAGCAGTAGCAGTGCCTGCTCTTAAGGCTCTCATGGAAGTGCGTCCTGTGGGTTCTTTGTCTTTGCAGTGATGAAGAGGCATCTTCTCCAGTCCCGAGAGTCCCTGGGCTGTCTCTGCCCTTCGACGTGGGCAGTGACACAGATGAAGAGCAGGGTCAGCAGCAGGCAGTGGGGGGATCCTTTTCAGCTAGTGCAGGGGCTGAGCAGCCTGAAGTTAAAGGAATGACAGCTGGCATCCAGCTGGCACAGGCACAGCAGCCTACTGAGCCAAAGTTCAAGGACACGAAAGTCAAGAGTGAGGCTGGCAATGGAGCAGCTCAGGTTGGGTCAGTTCTGGAGAGGAGCCTCACTCTTGGGGAGGACAGCGACACAGATGTGGAAGGAGAGGGGGTTCCTGTGACCCCATTTGTAGGTCCTGGAAAGAAGAAGCAAGTCCTGCTTGGAGTTGGTACAAGGGATCCTGGAGCACCTGGAGTGGCACATCTGCAGGGCAGCCCAGCCACAGATGTGGAGGAGGGCAGGACGCCAGTGGCTGTCCCTCCAGAGACAAACCACACACCCATGGTGATTGACAGCGACACAGACGAGGAGGGTGAAGTCTCGGCAGCACTCACCTTGGCCCATCTGAAAGAGAAGGGAATTACTCTGTGGAGCAGAGACACGGGCATGGAAGAGGTCAAGTCCCAACCACAGGTCCTTGTAGAGCGAAGCCAGAGTGCCTCTGGGAGAGACAGTGACACGGATGTGGAGGAGGGAAAGAGAGAAATGGTCCCTGACAGCCCCATGGACATAGATGAGGCTCTCACTGTCAGGCATACAGAGAGCCAGCCTCCCAGTAGAGCCAGAGATGTGGGTGAGGATGTGGACATGAACTCCCCTGGCGGCCATCTAGAGGGAAATGAGGCCTCTGCTACAGTAGACAACAATGCTGCACAAGTAGAGGAGGAAGTCCCACCAGAGCCAGCTGTTACCCTGGGGGAGAAGCACCAGCTGCCTCTAGAGGAAGCCCAGCCTTCTGAGGAGGCCTGGGAAGCAGCTGTGGGGGAAGGTTCATCTTCAGCAGTGGCAGATGTAAGAATGAGCCAGCAGCCAGTAGCAGAAGACGCTGGGAGAGTGTGTGCTGCAGCTGTTTCTGAGCTGGAGAGCACGCTTGAGGTGGGGGCCCAAAGCAGGTCACCTGCTGCACCAGGTACTCGAGGGGATCCCACACAGCCACAGAGAGAGGGAGCCCAGACTCCCACAGGAAGAGAGAAAGGAGCCAAAGACTGCTGTGACGGTAAGTGCTGCCCTCTGCTCTGCCCTTGACCCTTGAAATAAGCTGTCTATAAGGTTAGAGGAGAACTGTAAAGGTCTTGAGGATGAGAGCTGATTCTTTATCTGTCTCATATCTTTTCCCACAGAATCTGAAGATCTGTGCCTTCCAGCTACCCAGTGCTTTGTAGAAAGGGAGAGCCAGAGCTCAGAAGGTGAGGACATTGTGGTGTTTGTATTTGAGTACCAGTAAAAGCCGGGTGATTAGACTGGTGGTCCTTGAAAGGTGGTATGGCCTAGATGGGGAGTGGGGTTCGGGCATTCTGGAGGAGCTGTGTTCCAGCCATCTTTTCTTGTGCAGCTGTCCAGAGTTTGGAAGATGAGCCTACCCAGGGCTTCCCATGTACTCTGCCCCAAGAGCCTGGGCCTTCCCATCTTAGCCTTCAGACTCCAGGTATAACAGAGTCTCTCTGAACCCTCAGCTTTGTTTTCTTGTTTTCTTCCTCTACATCCTTTCATAGTCTGTCTTGTTGGGAACTGTGGACCCCCAGACCCTGAATTTCCTCTAAACAACTTGTTTTTCTGTGCTTGCAGCTACTTTGAGCACAAGACAGGGGAATGGTTTCTGGTGGGCTTGTAGCTGAGAGTTAGGGCATAGCCATTTGTCAAGGAGATCCTATATAAGCTGCCCTGGAACACAATACAGTTAGCATTCTTGAGGCATTCTTGGCGTTCTTGTTTCAAGAGTGACCCATGTCTGTGTGTGTGTGTGTGTGTGTGTGTATGTGTGTGTCAGTGTGTGTGTCAGTCTGCAGCCCCTTGCCCAGCTCACCAACCGTGCAGTAGTGCAGGCAGTACTCTACAGCCTTATTACCGTAGTACACGCAGTGCAGGAATTACAAGTCTTGTTTTAGATTTATCTGTTTTTATGTGTATGAGTGTTTGCGTGCCTGTACTTATGTTCACCATGTGCATGCCTGCTGCTCACAGAGGTCAGGAGAGGTTGTCTTATCCCCTGGAAGTGGAGTTAAGAACAGTAGTGAGCCACCATGTGTTTTCAGAACTGAACCCAGGTCCTCTGCTAGAGCAACCAGTGCTATTAGCTACTGAGCCATCTCTCCAACCCCTCATACTCATTTTAATTTCTTGTTTGTTTGAAGACAAAGAGTTCATACAGCTGAGGATGAGCTTGAACTTCTGGTTCTCCGAGAGCTGGAATTATAGGTGTGTGACACCACATCCAGCTAGGGATGGACCAGGGCTTCATGAATGCTAGATGAGCGCTCTACCAACTGAGCTGTATCTCCAGCACCACCATTCATATTCTTTTGGTATTTTACTGGTGTTCTCCATTTCACCAGGAAAAGAAATCCATAGCACACATGTGGTACACACTTGAGAGGCAGAGGCAAGATCTCAGAGCTAGCCTAAACTACATAGAAAGTTTAAGGCCTGGACTACGTTAGACCTTGTCTCAAAAAAGGAAAAAAAAGATGGAGCTGGGGCAGTGCTGGTGCACACCTTTAATCCCCGCGCTCGGGAGGCAGAGGCAAGCAGATCTCTGTGAGTTTGAGGCCAGTTTAACATACAGAGTGAGTTCCAGGACAGCCAGGGGTACACAGAGAAACCCTGTCTCGTGGTGGGGGAGGGCAGGGAGATGGACTAGAGAAATGGCTGAGTGGTTAAGAGTGGCAACCGTTTGGAGGACAAGAGTTCAGTTTTGGCTCCCATGTCAGGAGCTGACAACTGCCTATATGCCCAGCTTCTGGAGATCCATGGGCACCCACACACATAATATACACACATACATGTAAATAAAAATTTAAAAATAGATATTTTTAAGACAATAAGCTGGGCGGTGATAGCACATACCTTTAATCCCAACACTTGGGAGGTAGAGGCAGGCGGTTCTCAGTGAGTTTGAGGCCAGCCTGGTTTATAAAAGCGAGTTTCAGGCCAGCCAGAACTGTTACACAGAGAAACCCTGTGTCAGAAAACAACAAAACAAGACAACAAATAAAAGCAGGTTACTGAGCCTTACCCTGATTCTAGTTCAGGAGATTTGGAATTGGCCCAGAAAGTCAATTTTTCCCCTCTGCAGGCTGGAGGTTGAACTCGGGGCCTTACGCATGCCCGGGAGTACTTTCCTCATGCACATACCCAATTCTTGTTTTTCAGAGATTATAATCTCCTAAATAGCATGTAGTGTTTTAACTGCCACCCTATTCCAAGCTTGCCTTTAGTAACCCATTTAGCCATTTGTGAGTGTGCCCTAGCTCTTTGCCTTATTGCCTTTACAAAAACTTTATTTAACTTTATTTTATGTGCATTGGTATAATGATGTCAGATTCTCTTGAACAGGAGTTACAGACAGCTATGAGCTGCCTATGTGGATGCTGGGAATTGAACCCGGGTCCTCTGGAAAAGCAGTCAGTGCTCTTAATCACTGAGCCATCTCGCTAGCCCCTTTTGTCTTCTTTACCTGCATGCCCATCTCCTTTTTCTGATCCTCTCTAGGTTCAGGTGCCCTGGATGTGCCTTGGGAGGTTTTGGCTACACAGCCATTTTGTCTGGGAGAACCTGAGGCCTCCGAACCCCAGCTCATCGCCACCCACCTTGAAGCTCATGGATCTCCTCCATCTCTACCTAGTGCACCACCAGGACACCAGCATCTGGTTCACACAGAGCTGTTGGGAGTTGAAGGCAGAGAGATACAAACTATGGAGAAAGCCATGGGTATACCAAAGGAAACGGCAGACAGGGTGACCCCTGAGAGAGAGCCATTGGGAAGGAAAATCAGGGAAAGAACATCAGACAGTGAGAGAGAAGATGTGATGGGGGAAGAACTACCTCAGGTGATAGAGGACAGAGAGCCAAAAACGGTGCTAGCTAGAGACGAACAGGAACAGGAGTCTAACAAGGGGGAGGGTGGGCATCCTGAAGGAAATAGGGAGAGTTTGAAGGTAGAAATGGAGATGTCCAAAGACACACAGAAGAGAGAGAGAGAGTGGGAGCCACCTGGTTTAGAAGTGAACCTAGATAGAGGGGTGGCTGAGGGAGGGAGCCATGATTGGAAAGAGCAGATTGCCAGTCCAACACTAAAGCCTGGACTTGGCATGGGGGACCTTGAGGGACTGACATCAGCCCTGCCAGTCTCTGGGAGCCAGGGAGATGGAGGAAAGGGAGACCCCGTGAGCCCCGGGAGGCAGCAGAGAGGTAAGTGAGGTCGAGGGAGGCAGTGTGCTGTGCAGCCCTCATGGCATTAGTCCATGCACTACGGGCTGCACAGAACTCAGCCACTCCTGTTTTCACTCTGACTAGGCCGCTTGAGGTGCAAGATGACATCTGCTGGAAAGGCTTCCAGGGTGAGCAAGCTCAGCTGCTTTTTGTCCTGCCCCTACTTCACAAGTCGCCCCATCCCTGGCAGCTTCTTTGTCTACCCAGCCTGCCTTTAATCTATTCCTTTGTGTAGCTGCTGTTTTCTCACTGCATGTACATTTGTGCATGGCTGAGGGTGTGTGTTTGGGGAGGTGCATGAGGAAGCCAAGTAACAGCCTGTGTGGTGTTCATCAGAAACCACCCGACTTTCGGGAAGGGTGGGGGTGAGGATCTTGAGCTGGCTTAGAATTTGTTAAAGTAGACTAGGCTGCTTGGCCAGCAAGCTCAGAGGACCATCGTGTCTCTACCTACCTAGCTCTGGGATCACAAGCTTATGTCACTATTCCTGACTTTTTCACATGGGTTCTGAAGCTCAAATTCAGATCCTAGTTGCTTGCCTTGCTTACTGAACTCCGTAATCCCATGCTCTCAATTTTCTTCGTCACTCATTAGTTAACTTCTGTTCCTGTGTTCTGCCACCCATTGTTCCCAAGTGGTAGTTTCCTTTATTGACTCAGAAGTCTGTGCTTCTGCCCTCTTTGTCCACCCATGTCTTAACTCCTGTGTCCACCCACCGGTGCAGAACACTGTACTGGAATTATGAAGAGAGAGACCTCTTACGGTATCCAAAAGATTGCTTCCTCCCCCAAGGAGTTCCTAGCCTAAAGAGAGGTCACAGAAAGAAGTGCCAGTGAGCATGTCATGCCCATAAATAGAATCAAAGCCAGACATACTGATGGGCCTGTCATCCCAGTACTGGGCAGTAGAGGCAGGAAGATGAGTGGAGGGAGGACACAGCAATCACATGAGGCCCTTCAGGAACACTGAGAAAGATCAAGATCCATGCCCACCTTTCTTTTTTTTTCTTTTCTTTTCTTTCTTTTTTTTTTTTTTAACTATTTTTATTTTATAATTCATTGGTGTTTTGCCTGCATGTATGTCTATGTGAGGGTGTCAGATTTTCTAGGACTGAAGTTATAGACAGGTATGAGCTGCCATATGGGTGATGGGAATTGAACTCAGGTCCTCTGGAAGACCATCTCTCCAGGCCCACTAACCTCTTTCTTGCTACCTTTTGTCACTTGCCTGTCCTTCTCCTCAGGGTGATCCAGAACCCCCAGCCCATTGCCTGCTTTCTCCAGTGCCTGAAGCTTCAGCTCCACCTCAGAGTCTCCTCACCGCTCAGAGCCCAAAGCAGTCTTCCCCTTCTGAGCCACACCTTCCTGAGAGTCTTCACATGGAGCCTAATGTCAGGCCTCGGCGGTCCTCCAGGATGACCCCCTCATCCTCTGCTGCCCTTAGACCAACATCTCAGGTCACTCGGGGCAGGACAAATAAGTCCTCTGCCAGGACCCCAGAAGTGATTGTCCCTACAGACTCTGAGCTCCAGCCTCCCGCCTCCACAGAACAACCTGCCATCCCCAGACCCACATCTCAGGTCACTCAGGGCAGCACAGATAGTTCCTTTGATAAGGCACCTGAATCAGTTCTCACAGGTCCCGAAATCCAGCCTCCCACCACTGAACAGCCTGTTACCCCAAACCCTACACCTCGGGCCACTCGGGGCAGGCCAAGTAAGTCTTCCATCAAGACCCCAGAACTAAATGTCCCCACTAGCTCTGAACTCCAGCCTCCCACCACCACAGAACAAGCTGTCATACCTAAACCCACATCTCGGGCCACCCGCGGCAGGCCACGTAAGTCTCCTATCAGGACCCCAGAGCCAGTTGTCCCCACTGTCTCTGAACTTCAGCCTCCTACCTCCTCAGAACAAGCTGTCATACCTAAACCCACATCTCGGGCCACCCGGGGCAGGCCACGTAAGTCTATCAGGACCCCAGAACCAGTTGTCCCCACAGGTCCTGAACTCCAGCCTGCCATCTCCACAGAACAGCCTGTCACCCCTAATCTCACATCTCAGTCCTCTCAGGGCAGGTCACGTAAATCTATCAGGACCGCAGAACCAGTTGTCCCCACCGGCCCTGAACTCCAGCCTGCCACCTCCACAGAACAGCCTGTCACCCCTGAGCCCTCATCTCAGGGCAGGATGCGTAGGTCTTCTGTCAGAACTCCTGAAGCAGGCATCTCCACAGCCCCTGAACTTCAGCCTTTCACATCTAGAGAACCTCCTGCCTCCAAGCCCACAGCTCTGGGTACTCGGGGAAGGACATGTAAGCCCTCCATTGAGGATTCTAAATCAGTTGAACCAGTAGCCCCTGATTCTGAGCCTTCCGTCTCCACAGACCGTCTTGTTACCCCTGAGGTGATAGATCAGAGCATAAGACTGAAGTCCTCACCACTAAGTGCTTCCCCAGCATCCACTACCCCTGACCTGGGACCTGGAACCTCAGAGCCCATTCCTCAAGGCAATCGCCGAAGGAGGCGGAAGGCTGCTGGGAAACAGGACTCCCACATAGTTCCCATTGACCATGAGCCTTACTCTACACCCTCTAAACCTGAGTCCCAATCTTCAACCAGCCAAAGCTCAGGGACATTAGAAGCAGCTGAGTTGATTACAGTCGCTCCTGAGGCTGCCGTTGCCCAGGTTCCAGAGACCCCCCCTCACATTCCTCTGATGCAAAAGGAAGCAGCTGGGAGATCAGGGCTCACTCCCAAACCCCAGCCTGAGACTTCTCGAGTCCGCAAGGAGCCTTCCACTACCGCGAACTCACCACTTCAAAAACGTCCCCGAAGACAAGTTCCCCAGATGACCATTGTCCCTAAGGAAGAAGATCCTCCAGAAATGCCAGTGAAGGAAGAGGTAAGAGTCAGTCAGGGCCCCCTAGCTAGGAACAGGAGCTACAGGACTCAAATACCCACTGATGGGATTTTCAGCCTCAGGAGAGAGCAATTCCGGCACCAGGCAAGAGAAAGAGGGGCCGTGCAGAAGATGAGACCCAGGGAAACCCAAGTCGAAGCCGGCGGACTAAAACTAACCAAGAAGCAGTAGCTCCCAAGGTAGGAAACCAGTGGCTGGGAACTGAGGTGTATGCTGCTGATGTGGGTTGCTGTGACCATCTTCATACCGTCCCCTAGGTCCTGTTCACAGGAGTTGTGGATTCTCGTGGAGAGCGTGCAGTCCTGGCTCTGGGAGGCAGTCTGGCCAGCTCAGTAAATGAGGCCTCCCACTTAGTCACAGATCGCATCCGCAGGACAGTCAAGTTCTTGTGTGCTCTGGGGAAGGGTATCCCCATCCTCTCCCTGAACTGGCTGTATCAGGTAAGAAGATGGTGAGTAGAGGAAAGGACTGCTCACCTACCCTCAGGAAGTAGTGACAGGAGCTGAGGTGGAGAATGGAGTGTTAGTGAGGCAGAGGCTGCTTTGAAGAGGTTTATTGTAAGGGCCTGAATGACTCAGTGGTAGTGCACTTGCCTAGTGTGCTTGAAGTCTTGGGTGAGTCCTCAGCACTGGAAAGGAGAAAGAAGACATAATGAGTTCTCTTCAGATGAACCATTGCCTGTTCTTCCTCTTAGTCCAGAAAGGCCGGTTACTTCTTGCCACCTGATGACTACTTGGTGACTGATCCTGAACAAGAGAAGAATTTTAGCTTCAGCCTTCGGGATGCCCTGAGCCGGGCTCGGGAACGGAAACTACTGGAGGTGAGGGGCTGCCTTCTGCAACATGCCTCAGTCCTGCCCAGTGGCCTTCGCCTCTCAGTGCAGATCCTGTCTCCACCTCTTTCTTAGGGCTATGAGATTCATGTGACCCCTCGCGTGCAGCCACCTCCAGCTCAGATGGCAGAGATCATTGGCTGCTGTGGAGGCACCGTCCTGCCCAGCATGCCCCATTCCTACAAGGTATGACGGGCATGTCCAGAGCCTGAGGGGGGACAGCCGGAGAGGCTGTGGGGTGAGGACAGGGTGGGGACCAAGGCTGACAAGAGTAAGGGAAGAGAGCTGCTGACAGCAGTGGACTGAGTTTTGTTTTGAGGGTGAAATATTTTCAAGTAGCCAGATGTGGGGCCACACGTTGGCAGTCTAGTGTTTGGGACTTGAGGGCAGGAGGAACAGAAGTTTAGGTATATACTCATAAAATAGCAGCCTGGACTGCGCGTGACTGTTCCCCCACCCAGACTGTTTTTTAATATCTATATTTTGCATGGAGAATAGGAGCCATCATGTGAGTGCTGGAAACCAAACCTGTTATTGCAAACCATCTCTTTAGCCCCCATTTTTTTAATTAAAAAAAACCCAAATCCATATACTTTGTGCCCATATTCAACAGTTTTGATTGTATCTTTTTTTAAAATTCTGTAATTAGGTGGCCTCAATTTAGCAGCAGCCCCCTAGACTTAACCCAGCAGTTCTCAACCTTCTGACACTGCAGCCCAGCCATTACATTATTCATTATTATTATTAGTTTTGGAGGGTTTTTTGTTTTCGTTTTGGTGGGGGGTTTTTTTGGTTTTTTTATTTTGTTTTGTTTATTTCCAAGACAGGGTTTCTCTGTAGCTTTGGAGCCTGTCCTGGACTAGTTCTGTAGAGCAGGCTGGCCTCAAACTCACAGAGATCTCCCTGCCTCCCGAGTGCTGGGATTAAAGGCTTGTGCTACCACCACCACCCAGCCATTAATTATTTTTGTTGCTACTTCAAAACTGTAACTTCTGTTTTGAATCGTAATGTAAACATACCTGTGATTTTCTTTCTTTTTTTTGTTTTTGTTTTTTCAAGACAGGGCTTTTCTGTATCCTTGGAGCCTGTCCTGGAACTCACTTGGTAGACCAGGCTGTCCTTGAACTCACAGATCCACCTGTCCCTGCCTCTGAAGGGTTTGCACCACCGGCATTTTTTTTTTTTTTTAAATGTGTGAATGTTCTGCCTGCATGTGTGTCTGCAGGCCAGTAAAGGACATCAGATTCCATTACAGATGGTTGTGAGCCTTTATGTGAGTGCTAGGAATTGAATTCAGGTCCTCTGGAAGAGCAGCCAGTGCTCTTAACCATTGAACCATCTCTCCAGCCCCAATATCTGTGGTTTTCAGTGGTCTTTAAGTGACCTCTGTGAAAGGTTCATTCATTGCCACAAGAATTTTCAACCCATAGGTTGAGAATTGCTGCCTCAACTGAAGTACTGCTAACCAGCAATGCCTGGCTTTCCCCCCTCCTTTAATTTTGTTTTATTTTGGTTTTTGGCTCACTGCAAAATCGAGGCTGGCAAGAAACACAAAGTAACCCTTGTACCTCACTAAACAGAGCATGCCTATGAATTCCAACATTTGGGGGTCCCAAGTAGAATAGCCCAGGAGTTCTAAGTCATCCTTGGCAAGTCTGAGGCCAGCTTGGGCTGTCTTCGAGTGTCTCAGATTCTCCCACAGCCGTCAAACAGAAAATGACTTTACTAGGGTGTGGCCGCTTACTTCTGTGGTCCAACCTGACACGGGAGGCAAACTTAAGGTTTAGCCAATGTTCCACAGCAAGAGCCTCTCTTACATGATGTCCTCCTCCTCTGTGTTTAAATACACACTTGTGGGAAGTATCTGCCTTTTCTTCAGTAGTCACAGCACCTTTGCAGATCTCCAGCAAAATTCATCATAGTTTCTCCATTCAACAAACTTTCCAGTTACCTTAAAGATGGCTTTTGTTATTTTAAGTTGTTTGTTGAGACAGGGTCTCTACATAACCCTCAGTGTCCTGGAACTCACTCTGTAGACCAGGCAAGCCTTGAACTCTCCGAGATCTACTTGCCTCTGTCTCTGAGTGCTGGGATTAAAAGCTTTGTTGTTGTTTTGATGGTGACAGTGAGCTGTTTGTTTGTTTTTGGTTTTTTTTTGTTTGTTTGTTTGTTTTTTTGGTTTGGTTTGGTTTTGTGCCATTGTTGGTTCGTGGCAATGTAGCCCAGACCAACCTCTTGGCTTATTCAACCAAGTGCTGAGGTTTATAGGTCTGTGCTACTGTGACCAGCTAGCTGAAAGATGCAGAATTTTGCCAAGCATGGTGGTACATACCTGTAGTATCTACCATTTGCTCAAAGAAGTTGAGGCAAGAGGGTCACTTGGATTTAAGAGTTCAAAATCAGACCGAGCAGCACAGTGAGAACTCCATTTCTTTTGTTTCGTTTTTCGAAACAGGGTTTCTCTGTGTAGCCTTGGCTGCTGTGAAACTCTGTAGAGATCTGCCTGCTCTGCCTCCTGAGTACTGGGATTAAAGGCCTGCGACACCAGTGCCCGGCGAGAACCCCCATTTCTTAAAAACAAAAAGCTAAAGTTCATATAAAGCCCATATATTTGTTATATTTCCTGATTCTCTTACTGTGTAAGATTCCACCCACCTGACCCCCTGCCTTTGTAGGAATTTACTTCCCAACAAAGACTAGGGCAGCTGTCCCTGAGAATATTCCCCAGTCAGGATTTTTCTGTGTGTTTCCTTGTTTGTATCATTTTTATCTTATCCCACTATATTTTATGTTTTGTGTGATTTTTTTTCTTTTTTCTGAGACAGGGTCTCTCTGTAGTTTTGGAACCTGTCATGGAACTAGCTCTTGTAGACCAGGCTAGCCTCGAACACACAGAGATCCGCCTGCCTCTGCCTCCCAAGTGCTGGGATTAAAGGTGTGCGCCACCACCACCCGGCTTGGTTTGTGCAAATTATAATTATAAAAACAGCAATGGGGGCTGGGAATAGGAGCTCACATGGCAGCCTGCTTGCCTAGGTAGCATATTTAGCAACTCTTGGTTTGATGCCTAACACACATAAACTGGCCTTGGTAATAGATACCTGTAATCCCAGCATCTGAAGGTAGAGGCAAGAAGACCAGAAGTTCATCATCTTTAGCGACATAATAAATTTCAGGCCAGCTTAGTATGAGACCGCTTTTCAAAAAAGAAAGTGAAAGGTAGGCTGATGTGTTTTGAGTTAACCTTTGAGGCAAGAATACTTGATAGGCAGGACGGTGTATTTCATGTATGCTTTGTATGTTCCTGCACGCATGTGTGTGTGTGTGCCTGTAGATATATATAGGGCATCCTGATCTGTTCCTTTCTAACTCTGTCTCTTCTGCTCCTCACAGCCTCGGCGAGTTGTCGTGACCTGCACTGAAGACCTTCCGTGCTGTGCTGTCCCCGCTCGCCTGCGGCTGCCCCTCCTCTCTTCTGAGTTCCTCCTGACGGGAGTGCTGAAGCAGGAGGCCACACCAGAGGCCTTTGTTCTCTCCAATTTAGAAATGTTATCTTCCTAAAAAATACAAATCTATCAGCAAACACCCCTAGAAAACACTTGGAAAAAGAAATATAAATACACAATTAAGACCCAGCAAGGTAGTCCACACCTTTAATGTGAGCACTTGGGAGGCAGAGGTAGACAGATTTTTGTGAGTTCCAGGCCAGCCAGGGCTACATAATGAGATCCTTTCTCAAAAACCAAACAAAAAACCCTCAGGGCTTCACAAAGACCTAAGATATTGGGAATGTGGGTAAGGCTTTTGAAAAAGAAAAAAGAAAAGGACTTTTTCCGTAAGATGTCCATTTTTAAATTGTCCAAACCCAAGCTGGGGGTAGTTTTGTGGCAGAGCACTTGCCGTCGTGCTGAGGGCTCTGGTGAAAGTGCTGTTCCAGGCCCAGCATCCTAGTGTGCCCGTCTTTGGAAGCTGTCACTTCCCATTTCTTCCCAGGATTGTTTGTTTTGTTTTAGACAGGGTCTCTCTGTAGTTTTGGAGCCTGTCCTGGAACTAGCTCTTGTAGACCAGGCTGACCACGAACTCAGAAATCCACCTGCCTCTGCCTCCCGAGTCCTGGGATTAAAGGTGTGCGCCACCAGCACCTGGCTCTTCCCAGGATTCTTACTCAAAGTAAAGCAGCTCCCAGGAGTGCCTAACTGAGAAGATGTGAGTGGCTCATGGCATGTTTTCTGGTCTGTGACTGACCTGGTTAGAAAGGGTGTTCATGCGCTTTTGCAATGCTCTCTGTTAGCTGTGGTCATCTCTGTGTAGGTTGGCGCTCACTCAACCTGCCTGATGGCGAATTTTTGGTGTGACAACACCAGACAGACTGAGTTTATACTTATTTATCAGTATCAATTTAGAGTAAATTGTATTTGTTTTTAAGAGTTGACCACTTTCCAGGATGGAGAACATAGGACTCTTGGGCACTGCTGGTATTTGGTTTAGCCTCCGCAGTGAACAGTTTAAGTTCCTTTAAAGTTGAGTGCAAAGTTAGTCATGGGCGCAGTTCCTGTACTCCCACTACTTAGGAGGCTTGAAACAGGAAGTTCACAAATTCCAGTTCAGCCTGGACTACAGAGTAAAACCCCGTCTTAAAAGAAAGAAAGGGTTTTTTTTTTTAATGTTTTTTTGCGGTTAGCTTTCATAATTTTTACGGTAGGTCAGTATTCATTTGACCTACCTGCTTACCATATGACCAGCAATGCTGTTCTTTCTCCTATTGGGAAATTCTATACTTGACCTTCAATCTGAACAGTCCAGGTAGAGGCAAGTGGGATCAGAAGTTCAAGGTTAGCTTTGGCAACTTAGCAAAGGAGAGCCCAGTCTAAAACTACAAGACTCAACAATGGAAAACAGGCACTTGATAATTGTTTTTGTTTTTTGGGTGGGGCTTTCTTTTTCTTTATGCTTGATAAGCAATGATTTTGCCGCCATGCCTCATTCCCAGCCCCCTATTGCTTTTCATAATAGATACAGATATAGTGTAGATGATTGGGTAGTGTTAACAACACACACCTTTAATCACAGCACTTGGGAGGCAGAGGCAGGTAGATTTCTGAGTTTGAGGCCATCCTAGTCTTCAGAGCTAGTTCCAGGACAGCCAAAGACGGCTGTTACACAGAGAAACCCTGTGTTGAAAAACCAAAAAGAGAAACTGTAGATGTTCGTCCAGCAATGATGAAATATGCTGTGTGTACCAAAAGGAATGCTCAGACATGAAGTAAAAACCCGGTATTTGATGATGAGTGTAAAGAACACCCTAAGTAAAAGAAACAGACTCAAAGGACATTTGATTCTACCTGCATGATAATATCCAGGATGGGGGAATGCACAAAGAGTAGATCAATGCATCCCAGACTCCAAGGACAGGGGAGATGTTAAAGGGGTGGAGAGTTTCACTGTGGGGAGCCAGAAAGAGGAAGTGATTGTACATAGTGCAGAATATTAAATGCTACTGTACTAAATGCCACCTTGCTATGTAAATTTCATTTCAATAAAAACATAGTTGCTAGCTTTGTATAATTTTCTGCTGTGAACTGTGTTAGAAAACTACTTTGGTGTAGTATATATAGCCTGCTTTCTCTCCGTGTGGTAGACATCATTTTGGGCCCTGCTCTTGCTAGGCAACTGCTTTACAACTCATTTATACCCCAAGTATATACTGAAGCTTTATGATTCTTCTTTTAGGGGGTTGCTGGGGGTTGAATCTAAGGCTTGAAGCAATACTGCTCAAGTAAATCCTTCACCACTGAACTGTAGTCCCAGACCTTTGTTAATTTGGTGCCTATGGGAACCAGAAGTCAGCCTTTGTCCTTCCTCAGGAGTCCACTTTTTCTTTGAGACAGGGTATCTCACTAGGACCGTGAAGCTCCCTGGTTAGGCTAGGCTGACTGCCAGTGAGCCCTAGGCATCTTCCTTTCTAGGGCTTGGATTATGAATGTTTTTAAGGGTGAAGCAGGATAAAGAGAAACCTCAGTGCAATCCTCGTTTTCCACCTACAAGCCCTTCTGCGACCGCTCAGAGATCCAAGAACAGTGGAGCTAGACTGATGCCCCGGTGCAATCCTGCAGAGGCAGGAACATCAGCTCAAGACTATTCTCAGCTATATAATTGCCAAGTTCGTCGCCAGCTTGGGCTACATGAAGATTCTGCCATTTAAATAAGTGGAGAGAGCAGTATGCAGACAGAACCTCCTCAAAAAAACTGATATTCTCGGACGCAGCCCTCTCAGTACAAATTTCCCAAGCCGAGAGCCGGGTGGGGAGGAAATGCGCTTTACAATGCATGGCAGTTTGATCCAGAGGCTGTGGGAGCGCCCAGGCTGGGTGCTGCTAGGATGTTCCTCTATCCCTCAACCTGAGGGCCTTGCCTTTGCTAGTGTTGGGTATTTTTATCTCCCTGGCCCTGCCTTATCTGCAAACTAAAGGAATAAGTTCGTGTCTTCTGAGGACCCTGTACTCGGAGAGCTACAGTGGGGACAGATCCTTTCACCACGTAGTCTTCTTTTTTCTTATGGCCCTTTTGGACCGGGTCTCCTTGTGCAGTCTAAGCTAACTTCAAATTTTCCTGCCTCAGCCTTCTGAGTACTGGAATTACAGGCACGAACCATCACGAACAGCTCTAAAACGATCACTAAACAAAAATCTATGTTGGGCGTGGTGACGCCGCCTGCAACCCCAGCACACCAGGGGCTGAGGTCTGGTTTGCACGCAAGGGAGGCTCAGTCTTCACTTTCCACTCCACGTGAACACGGGCCTGACTGAGGTTCGACCCACGCGGGTGGCTGCAGAGCCGCTGCCCTGACGACGACTAGGGTTCCAGGCTCCGCGCTATGACGCGCCTCTCGCGGTCCCCGCCCTGAGGCCAGCATCCCACGAAGGCGGGACCTGGGCGGGGCCAGCAGCCGCGGGAACCCCGAGCCCGCCTCCTCGGCAAGCTCCTTGGCGCTCGCCATGGCCCCGGCGCTGCTGCTGGTTCCGGCGGCCCTCGCCTCCTTCATCCTGGCCTTTGGCACCGGAGTGGAGTTCGTGCGCTTCACTTCCCTGCGGCCGCTGCTTGGAGGGATCCCAGAGTACGGTGGTCCGGGTGAGCCGCAGGGATCCTGGGCGAGCTGAAGCGGAGAGGAGGAGCCAGAGCAACGTGGAGAGGGCGGGGCGTGGAAACAAATGACAGGGAAAGGCCAAAGCTGCCAGGCGCCAACGGGAAGGGAACAGAAGGCTAAATCAGAAACTCCAAGATTAGTTCGTCCTGTGCAGAAGCTGGGGAGTGAGGACTGACCGAGTAAGGGTGCGGTGGGGGTAGCTTTTGTGGGGAGAACTAGGGACGGGAAAGATGAAAAGAGGAAACATTAGAAAACCGCGACCGTGGGCCCGTGGTAGCATTCCAGAGGCAGATCTCTCAGATCAAGGCCCGTCTGGTCTATTGAGTAAGGGTTATGTTTGTAGAGAGACTCTGTCTCAGAAAAACAAAAAAGAAAGAAAACTACACCAAAGGTGATTTCTCTAGCCTTTCTGTGTGTGTGTGAGAGAGAGAGAATATATGTGGAATGTGTGCTTGTGTTTCTGTTTGTGTGTGTGCAGGTGCAGCTGAAGGGAACCTTGAGTGTCTTTCTTCAGGGGCTAGCCACCTTATTTTTTAGAGAGGGTCTTACTATGTACCCCCAGCTGGCTTGAAACTCAAAGGTCCACCTGCCTCCGTCTCCCATGTATTCTGGAGACAGAATCTGTCACTGAAACCAGAAGCCTATCATCTAGGTCAGATGGGTCCTCCGGAACTGGGGTTATAGATGGTTGTGAGCTGCCATGTGGGTGCCAAGAAGCAAACTGGTTCCCCCGAAAGAACAGCAAGTGTTCTTAACCGCAATCCATGGCACCAGCCCCTCTGGAGTTCTCCTGCCTCTGCCTCCCCAGCACTGAGATTACCAGCACACACCCCACCATGCCAGGCTTTTTGTAGGGGTGCCAGGGATCGAATTCAGGTGCTTACATAGCACTACATGGACTGAACCATCTCTCCAGTCCTCCCGCATTGGTTTTAATAATGACCCTACCGGCATTCTAAGAATCTTCCCCAGAAGGAGGCTAGAGAAGATGAGAGATTGAAGGAACAGGAAATTGAACTGGGCTTGGCCTTGACAAGATCTTGAAAACGTCAAGGACGTGGAATAGGGCTCCAAAAGAAGATGAGGGTAAGGGAATGTTCTAACCTTAACTGATCCTTTGTCCCTGTCTTCCCTAACCAACTCCCTCAGATGCCCGCTATGGGTGGTTGGCTGCCTTACAGGACCGAAGCATTCTTACCTCCCTGGCTTGGGATCTTGGGCTTCTGCTATTGTTTGTGGTGCAACATAGCCTCATGGCAACTGAGACAGTGAAGGCGTGGACATCCCGGTACTTTGGAGTCCTTCAGAGGTCACTGTATGTGGCCTGCACAGCGCTGGCCTTGCAGGTATGAGGCCTTTGCCACGGGAGACATAATTCGTGGCGTGCTTACACTGGAGGGACAAGATGAGTGTGTAAGAAAGCAGGGGATCCGAATCTCAGCTCCTGTCCCCCCAGAGCACATGCCCCATTCATCAGCAGAGTCCTGTGTTTCTGACATTCCCCAGCACAGCCTGAGGAGTCTCACCCTTGCAACTTTGTTCATGTTGTCTTGCTTCAGTTTGTTTCTTTGTTTCTCTGCCTATCCCTGGGTGTCCTGAAACTCCCTCCTGCCTCCGCTTCCTGAGTGCTGGGATTAAAGGCCTGCACACCACTGCCTGGCTTGCTTCAAGTCTTAAATCCTTCTTAGTTCCTGTCTTCCAAACCTAGGTCTTCAAGAGAAGACGCCTTCCAATTAGTCTTCTCATTGGGTGTTTGTCATAGGCTAGTTTGGTAGGGTATCCAGCAGCCCCCATCCTATCCGTTTTGTAAATCCTGTGTAGAAATGGATCATCTTCATATCCTCCATACCCCATCCCGAGCCCTCTTCATGATAAATATTTACTGTTTATACTCAGAGGAAAGAGCGGTAGGTTACTGTGGAGCCAGGGAGATCCCTGGCATGCTTAGTTTCTCATTTTTCCCCAGCTGGTGATGCGGTACTGGGAGACTGTACCCAGGGGCCCAGTGTTGTGGGAGGCTCGAGCTGAACCTTGGGCCACCTGGGTGCCCCTCCTCTGCTTTGTGCTCCACGTCATTTCCTGGCTCCTCATCTTCAGCATCCTTCTGGTCTTTGACTACGCTGAACTAATGGGCCTCAAACAGGTGAGGATCCCACATCCCTGCCTGAGTCTACAATTCTCTCCCTCCCATACTGTGATTGCTCCTGGCTCTGTAGTCCCTTGCCTCCTTTTCTGATCGGTCTTCTTTCGGCTCGCCTTCAAAGGTCAGTCGCTATAGGTCTCTGGGTTTGAGGAGGATGCCTGGACCAGAGGCTCGGGCTTGATTTCCGTGCTCTTCCCTCTCTCCTAGGTATATTACCACGTACTGGGGCTGGGTGAGCCTCTGGCTCTGAAGTCTCCTCGGGCTCTGAGGCTCTTTTCTCATCTTCGACACCCAGTATGTGTGGAACTTCTAACAGTGCTGTGGGTGGTTCCCACCCTGGGCACTGACCGCCTCCTCTTGGCTCTTCTCCTTACCCTCTACCTTGGCTTGGCCCACGGGCTTGACCAGCAAGATCTCCGCTACCTTCGGTCTCAGTTACAAAGAAAACTACAGCTTCTCTCCAGACCCCAGGACGGGGAAGCAGAGTGAGGAGCTAGCTCCATTTCTAGGGCCTGTTCTTCCTCAAAAATCAAAATCCCTTAGCTTCCAGGCCGTTTGTTACAGACCAGAGGCTGGAAACCATGTGCTGAAGGGGCTGTCACTTCCCCTGCTTGAGACCTCAGTTCCAGGGTCCAGATCCCCCTACTCTAAATTTAGAGTTTCAGCCACTGGCCTCCAGGGTCCATTTCTCACCAACCAAGAGTGGGTACAAAGTCATGTCATCTCTTGGGGTGTGATACAAGGCTAAGGGCTCTGCCTTGAGCACTCCCTCCCCGGTACTGTTACTGGGTTCTGCACCTCAGGGATCCCCTTCCTAGTTTCCACTTCAAGGAGCTATGCCAGGGCCAGTCTGCAAGTTTGCAGGTAGTGGATATCTCTTGTACCGCTATGCGTTTTCCCCACTCCTGCCTTCATTTCTCCACCTCCTTATAGGTCCTGCCCTACAGATCCTAGGTGTCTCCTGTTTTTTAACTCGGTCTCCTACCGCGGAGTCTCCCGTTTTTAACTCGGGCTGACTCAGGGCTTCCTGCTCTCTCAAAGGATATGCGCTGCAGAAAAATTAAAAATTTTCTACATATGGTACCCAGTTGTCTGTCCATGTCTCTCAAGCCGCCGGACCAAGTGTGGGAAGGAAGCTGAGGCCAATGAGGCCAAGTTCTTGTGGCAGCAGCCTCTGACGACCGCCGGGCTGGGGCCACACCCCACGGGTCCGCCCCCATGTCCCAGTCACCCAGTCCTGCTCCCTCCGAATATTAGTTTCTCCGCGTAGAGATC